TGGAGTTGTCAGTTTACTTGATAATAAGGGACTAGCTTTGTACTTAATTTGATTTGAAATGGATTGAATCATCCCGTCTTTTTTACGTTGATTGAAATTCAATTAGTTTTAGTTGGTATATGTGAATCCTATGCAGATTGTCTCGATCTAGCCATTGTAACATGAGTTAGTATAGAATAGATGGAATTTGGCTAGCAATGGAATCCAGGTTACTCATCCTAAATAGGATGAAACACGCCGACTGGATTTCACTGCTAACCGCATTCCATTTATTCTATACCAACTAGTTATGTATCTATTGAATTCTAATAAGTTGAACTGTTCACACTTATTTTACATAGAGTTCTTATATAAACTATCACGCAAACATCCGGTTATTTATTTACTTCGAAGAAGTGGCTCGCGTTAAGTCACAAAGCGCCAGAGATACAATTTTCTACTTATTGGGAAATAACAAAAAAATATATTTATTATTGTTAACATAATTAGTTTTCCTGTATCCTTGTGTAATAAAACTGAATACGTTTTGTCCGTTTGGTTTGACTTAATTTACGTACACTAGATTGTTTATTTCAGCCGTTAGTTGAATAAAGGCACTTACAATGCAGATTGACATATCTATTGATAACTATCAATTGTGAAAACTTTTTCAAGTTACGATAATATATCAGATTAACACATTATATTCTTACTAATTTACCTACTCTTAATATCATTGAATCGGATTTACACAAGTTAAATACTCTTTGGGAAGTTAAGCTAATTAATTAGAATGGAAATCTTCAGTAATGAAAATAACGAAGATTCGAAGCATCTTCAATTAATGAATCCCTTGTGAAACATATTAAAGATCATGATTTGAATAATTCAAATGTCAATTTCAAATCGACCATAATAATATGAGTTCAATCTTGAGCATCTTGTTAGTATATTTTATTAATTTCTATTCATTTTTATTTCTCCTATTTATTTGATAATTTTTTCTCTCTTGTCACACGGTATAGATATTTGAGCCAATATTTTATTGTTCAAAATACAACGTTCTTATGTTTACCTATATGTGTGTTCGTTTTAAGAACTTCTGTAACATGATGACAAACTCTACATCTTATTAATAAAGTTATTTTTATGAATGAGTGTTAGAATGACTTATTTTACTTCAACCGAGTACGTCTGAGTTCATTGTCGGTTTATTGCTGTTATTATTATTACTATTAGTAGTAGTGTTAGTATTACTATTATTAAACACATAAGAAGTAACATACTTATTTTTTATTCAAGTTTTGTTGAAATTTCAGTATCCCTTTTTTCTTGTTTTCCATTTTAGTTTGTTAATACATATATATATTATGTGAAATACGTTGATAAAATGGTCTTCACATTTGTTTTACTTATATACGTATGTATTTCTGCGAAAATAGATTGTATTAAGAAAATATTAATTTTCAGATCTTTGTTTCATAAAAATTTCATCGCTTTTGTTTCTATTGTATTTATCTATTCAATCCATTTATGAAGTACGAATTCGTGTACTTAACTTCGAGTCACATTCTAGATGTAACAGGGTTACGTAAACCAATGTAGATGGGATAGAGTTCGAACCTGTGACTTGTTAGCTAGAATTCATACACCTTAATCACTGAGCTATCAATTCGTTTGGTTTTGTTATTTGTTACATGAAAAAAGTAGTCAGTGTTTTTTCAAGATATCAGTTACTTTACCTAAAAATATTATACAAAAATATATGTAGTTAAACTTGATACACATATGCATCCATCAATTAATTATAGGTTTTAATGATCATAATTAATGTAACGTTCTATAGTTTTGCATCTGACCTAAAGACGTAATGTTCTAGGGTTTAACCAATAACGTTGATGTGGATGAGTGAATCTTGAAGGTAGAGAGGAATAAAGAAAACATGAATCGACAGCTCAATAGACACAAAATGTACTTATATCTAGTACCGTACTACAATTGAGTAAATGCGGTGATTGACAAGCATAAATTCAAGATTATCTGTCTGGTTATAGAAACTTGAAATGGATAGAATAACGTTTCTAATTCATTAAAATATTAACGTGGTATAAACAGTTAGTTCTTTCGTTTCAGAATATTCTCACGAAAAAATTGTATTAAACACAGGTTTAACCTTGAAAATGATGTTTTACGGTCAAATCACGTGAAATTACTCGACTGAATTATAATTGAACTTATATTCTGAAAATTGGTTGGATAATTTTCAAACCCAATGGTTTTATGTTATCATATTTTCTTTTCGAATAGAGTTTTCTTCAGAAATCAACTTTCTGTTCTATCTATGTGTTTGCCTTCATCTATCTTTGTTTGGCATAGAAATGTCCTGAAAATTTGATAAGCAGGAAAGGTTAAAAAAACAATATGAGTTGCAAACCACTTATATAATTTTTTTTTGTATACACTTCTTCATGAAATCAATGTCATCAAACTACTTAGACAATAAGTATGTACTCTTTTATTTTTCAGAATAAAGCCAAAATAACAACTGAGACTGAATAATGTGAATTCATTATATTTCGTGGTTTCTCATTAGCTGCTTACAAATGTAACATTTGAGGTGAGATATGATGTGGAAGAACAGATGTGAGACCATTTAGAGATCGAGTTCCAAAAAACATAGAAAGAAGGCAGATAAGGCAGTATTATCAATTGCTTCACATTACATCTTACCTCAATGTTACATTTCATTACATATATGGTTGTAAGCAGCTGATGAGGAACCACGAAATATAATAAATTCATATTATTCAGCCTCAGTTATTGTTTTGAATTTATTCGAACTCATAAAATAAAACCAATTGCACGAAATTTCTGAAGAGATTGAGGGGGCGAGAAAAGTATAGTATATGGTTCCGATTACAGATACTAATAAAAAAACTCGATTTTCATTCCTTCGCAAAGTGTTATTGTTTTCGAAGCACTACTCAATTTCGGTGTAATCATCAACAAATGAGTGATGTTGTTGTCAGACGTAGTAATTTAATAAATCGATTGTCCTTGTTGTCATTCTGTATCATCCTTTTAAATCTTGGATTATGTTACTGCATATTTCTGATTTGTTAATTTTATTCATACCTCTGATCTATATTTCCTATGATTGCTTTTTTCTACCATCCGTCTTATTCTTTCGATTTCTTTGCTCCTATTTGTGTTGAGTGAAGTTTTGCAACTTGAAGTGAAACCTATTTTTATCTGGTCATATGTTTTGTACATAACTTTGATTTTTAACGTAATTTAGGATTTCATAGCTGTTACTGATAAAACTCAAACATTTTAGTTCATTAATACTTAGTTTTTCAGTGTTATTTCAGCTATTTATATACAAACTGTTATGGAGAGGTGTTTGATTATATGATGCGATGAGATTTTTGTTTGTTAAAATCAATCTATAGAATACTAATCGACAAATGAACACAGTGATATGATATTTCCGAGTAATGGTTACTCGAAAGACCGTATTATTGTCTATGAATGATTAAAACTCAATGGCAAGACCATTAGACAGGTGGATAGTTCTTCATGTAATAAAATGACATACATCGTGAATACGAACATAATAAACTTGGTAAAATACCATAGTCTATTAAAGGAATTCAGCTTGTTGGTCAATCAATTAAGAGTTGACTATCAGACCTCATTTTTGTGCATCGTTCCATAAATTGACAGTTAATTATTCAGCTTTTATTCAAATTACGTCAAATTGTTTAACAATGAATTCCTCTACTGAAATCTAGTTCAATAGAACTCTGTAAATCATTTTTTTTCGGTTATGCATTTCCGTACATGAACAAATGTTTGAAACTGGTAAAAAAGCGTTAAACTTTGATTATTTACTTATTCCATTAATATAAATGTAGTAATTTAAACAATTTCTGTAGCTTTTCAAAGTGTTTTTTCTTGAAAAATAAATGTGAAGTATAAATTTGTAGGATCTCATTTTTTGAGAAAAACGTTCTGTGTGCTCTTATTTAAATTAATGCTAGTGTAGTTGGTAAAACTGTATTTTACTGTCTGGGCATTGAGGTTTAAGATGGTGAACCTTGGAATTTTGCTTGAGATTCAGAACACAGTGATGGACAGCGTGTATTTTATTAAAGTCTGAGTAAATACAAACAATATTTAGGCAATAAAATGGTTAAAACGGATAAACACGAGATATATTAAGGATAGCGTTGCATGATCCATACATTTTTAAGATAATCTATACGGTTTTAAATACTTAAAATCAAAGAACTAACTTGATAAATATTCATCCATACTTGAAATTTACTTACTCGATTTCTCATCATTACTCCTATCCTTTAACACTTTATACTAACTGTAATTTTTAAACCATACTCTAACTCCTAATCCGAACCAAAACTCATAGACTTTCTGTTTTTTGCATTAAGATGTTGATTTATATCACCAGGATTTTTATTGTTTAAAAGTCGGCATTTCTCTCCGAAGGTTACTTTACTAGTCTTTACAGACTACTTCAATGCTGTAATTTAATTGTGTAATGGTAACGTTCAAACTTTCAGCTTAGCTTTGTGAATCGTTAAGTGTACGCTCATCATTGAACTATCCATCCATTGTATTGCACATTTAAGAACACGAATTATATTGTTTTTTCTCTGTGGATTCTTTAGGATTAGTAACTCTTAAATAAAAACTGAAAGATTTTGTGTAGTACCGATTCTTAATTGTTCACAAGGATATATTACAAAAAACTAATATAAGCAGTAAAAGTAAAAAGTTAGTTCTAAATTTAAATTCATGAAATCTACAACCCTTCATATACATTGAGCATATATATTAGTTAATGCACTATTCACCATTCGTTTGTATACACTGAGTTCAATATTTTGTGAAGTTATCTTTTTTAAACTTGAATGAAAGTTTGTATAGCAAATAATATAGTTTTTATTCTACAAATATTTTATTTTATAAATCTTTTCCATTTTTTTCCCTATTAATAGATCTATGGAATTGCTTTCAGTCCAATGGGACAATTTTTTGTCACAGTTGGTGTACGTTATGTTCGTTTTTGGTATTTAGAAAATAAGCGCAGTAAAGTAAGTGTTTTTGTGATTTTGGTCACTATATATACTTTCATATAATTGCTTAACAGTGGCAATATTAAAAAAATAATTGTCAGTTGAACGTAAATAATCAGAAGTAAAATGGCATTTTCCGAAGAACTTTATTTTAAGAATCGTTATCACGATGTTACCTTTTAATGAATTTCAATGGTTTAATTGATTAACTAATGTACCAAGCATAGATTTATGTATTGAGCGTTCAGCTACTTTTTAATGAGAGATTGCCGGTTATCTAAGCCCCGAACTAGGTAGTTGTAGATTCGTACGTGTAACCTACCTGTTGGAAAGCTATAAATTTTTGTCATTAAACTACCGTTTCACTTAAACATTTCGGTGATCTTTCATGATGATTCATTTCTTAAAAAAACTTCACGTTAATATTTTAAATCAACTTAGCTTATTAACTTGTGTTTAAGTGGAGAGAAAGCAACAATATTTAATTAATTCATTGTAGTCTACAAATATCGCGGACCTCGTTTTATTTCATATTTGTAAAGAGAACTAATCACACGAAAAATATTGATTCACTAATTACATAATTATGGATTTTTTTCTAAATTATTGAAAACACTCCTCATTCACTGACATTACATGAATACTGATCTCTCTGAAGAGTCCAAATTACTATTAATTGGAAGTAGGAACGTTCTTAGAAATTCATGCTTTTTATGCTTGAATAGATCGATTACCGAGTGCAGAGCTGTGGACGTGCAGTACTGAGGAGTCCCATAGTAGGACGAGATGGCTGTTCAGTTCTTTCAGAATTTCAACTCGTGATCTATCTAAGAATCAGTTCGTAATTTGAACGGTGAAAATTCTACGCGCGCCACAAATCCCATGCATTGACATAATAATTGTGTCTCTAAGTGTTTTGACGAGTTCTTCAGCTTTCTGTCATTCTGATAATGTCTCATCGACGTCATTACGATTAAAATAGTTGATTTTTCCTGGTTTATTTCATTAAAATGAATTTAATACAATTGAAGGTATCATCACCAAGGTTTGATTTGATAATTTCGAATAAATTGAGCATTGAGTTGATTGTTAGAAATAAAAATAATATATTTGTAATATCCCAATAAGTAGAAAATCAGATTTTCTGACGTTTCGTGACTTAGTGTAAGTCACTTCTTCAGAGAATAAATAACCAAATTCTTATACATAATATGTTGATGGAAATGGGTTATCCACAAGGTTTCCTGAAGAAATACTTGCATGTAACAAACAAGAAAATGGGGACATCAACAGCTAGTAAGAAACCCCTCTTTCTGAAACTGGAATTCAATTGAGATGTCGCTGGTGATATGCTACATGATAGACTGACTAGAGCAGTTATGAGAACGTTTAATGCAGCTAACATCTGTCTATTGTACTCGACCCAAGTCTTTACGTTCATAAGAAATTTTTGACACCTTTATTTCCCCCTCGACCCTATCAACTGATTTTATTTATTATTATATTCCATACTTTTTCGTCTGCTTTTCTTCACCCTCTTCCACCCTTTTCTTTTCTCGAATATACGCTTCACGGTCCAATAATCTGGACGCTTATTACATAATCTTATGATTTTTTTTTGGAATGTGATTTCAGTGTCTATATTTTCTAATCATTGACTTATTTCCCATTATGAAACATTGGTTCAAGCCTTTATTATTCTTATCGCAACTAGTACGCCTGTCATCGCACTACCGATTTGTACCTTTCACTTATTATGTTAATTTATGTAATCTATTCCACTGTTATCATTGACTTCAGATTAGACAAAAACACTAGTCTCCATCACGATGATCATATGGTACTTTAAAATTTTTGGGCTGAAATTCGAACATCTCTATTTGTTATTAATATGAGTATGTTGTAGCAATATCTTGTTTCACTAAACATAATGTCTTGACTAAACGGGTATTACACCAAATGAAGTGAAATGTGAGGTGATATGTACGAAGTTAGGGTAAGTCGACACTCATTATAATCGTAGCAACAATACAAACATTACGTATACGATTGTTCTGCACTTTTCTTTACCTTTATTTTTTCATTCTAACTGATAGATTCGTGAAACTCTACCACTTCATGGAAGAAATGCTATTTTAGGCGATATGTTCAACAGTGTATTTACTGATGTATGCTGTGTTAATTCGTCTTCGTCGTTGTCTTCTTCTTCGCCTACTTTGTCTTCCTCTAATCCCGGTTCTACTCAAATTCATTCTGCTAAATTGAAATCTACAGCAGGAGGCGAAGGAAAAGATCGTGAAGATGTAACAAATAATAACAGTGGTAAAATTGCATCAGCATCATCATCACCGTCTCCGGGTATCGGATCTACAACAACATCAACCACAACATCTAATACTTTGACATTAGTCGTAAATACAGCTGGTCGTTTAATACAATTTAATGGTCAAAGAGATCTAGACAAATGGGTTGATTTAAAAGTGAGTTATTGAATTGTTCATCGTTATCTCTCTTTCTCTTTCTATGTGTGTCTATCTACCTATCTTTATTTTATACTTGTCTACTGCGTACATTGTTCTTTTTAAATCATTCATCCAATGTATGTTTAGAGCTTTAATTAAATTATCAGTTAATACGTATAAAAATACACCAATGAATTTATTTTTATGCTTTATTGATGAATATTTGTAGATGACGTCAGTTGATTCCTTTTTTTTAATAACAAAATTAACACTTCATCCTTTGTTTCTTTTATGTATACTTATAGTTTGTTTTAAGTTTATCGACTAGATTTGAATGATAATCATTTTAATCAGTGTAGCATTCAAACTATTATTCCCTAGGTAACCAATGAACACTTTTTCAATTAATTTATAAAACTTTGTCGTTCATGTTATATCATTGTTTATCCAATGTACAATTAACAAATGACTGTAACTGTAACTTTTTTTTCTATTTTCACTACATTCAATAGTCAATAATATATGCAACTTATTTCGTTATAACATTAAATGAATGGTACAAACTATTGATTTGTATCTGTTTGTTACTAATGTGTTTTATGTTCTTTTTAAGCCTAATCAATATTAATTGCCAATCATTTTAAATTAATGTACATTTGTTTAGTTTAAGGGTGATTTTTGTTAAGAATTGACGTCAACTAAAAAAAACTGTTGATAGTTAGAAACCGTCCAGTAATATCCCCATACGTTGTCATGCGAAGTCGAAAATCGATGACCAAATGTCAAACCCCTAGATTCGAATTTAATAGACTAAGTTTTCTAGTTTATTCTCTTTGGAATGTGGTACAATTTGCATCCAATGTATATATGACTCATTCTATAGCACCTTCCAATTGATTAATACAATACAGGCCACTATCCTGTGTGTTGAGTGTGTACTACTAGGACTGCCAAATTAGGATCAAACACCTTCGTTCATTCTTTAATTGACAACAGGTGGTAATGGAATTTACCTTCAAGGTTTAGTACTAATATTAAAAAGGACGTTCAACCAATAAAAAATGTATGCTTTAAGTAATATGAAGCCGCTACTTCTATTGAATCCCATATCCTATTCAGTTATACCAGGTTTCTTAACTATTTCTGTATATTTCGTCTAATCTTTATTGTATTGAAGTTGGAAGTCAGTCATTTACATCAATGATAAGTGTTGCTAATCCCACTGGATTCGTTCTACAAAATAGTCTATTTCCAGCGAAATTTTTTCACATAATAAGCAAAGATGGTTGGTGGCTGGCAGTGAAATCCAGGATGCGCGTTTCGTCCTTTTCGAGACTCGTCAGCTGGATGTACCTGCATCCACCTCGGAGAACGAAACTCCATCAAAATCATTCACCTGAGTTACAAATCTTTACCATTTCAAGATTGGTGAATGTAATTTATATCTTTGTATTATGCACAACTTTTAACTTGTATATCTGTTCGTACATGATAAACACTATCGATTTTTTCCTTTTAAAATTAACACAGATTATGATTATAACATTTAGAAATTGTGTACAATCTCTGATAAATCTGGCTTCTTACTCGACTTTATTTTGTGTACGTTTCTTAAACTAATCCTTTTATTATAAGCAAATATGGGCGTAAGGTGATATGGTGGCAATCCTCATAGAATGCCAATAAAAGGTTGATCGATTGCAGATTCAAACAAACAATACCAAGTGAATCTAACTCTTTTGTTACGTATTTGCATATAAACGTTTAACGTAAAATATTTTGGAGGATGTATAAATTTCACACAAATTGGTTCAGCAGACTACATGTATGAAACAAAGAGATTGTAAGCTGTTTATTATGCGTCGTGGTGTGGATTATTATAACGACCAATCCTGTTGTATGTGCATTTATTGGTCTGTTAATTCAAATCGTGGGTGATGTGGATTTAATGGGGACCATCAATCGTTGACTCAGTTTATCTAAAGAGGATACATTTACCATGAAAAATCGATAAACAGACACAACTACATTCATACATAAACAAATATGTAAATAGGTAAAAAGATTACCAATTAATTAAATTGAATTATAAGATTAAAACGGGCACATATTTGCTAGTTCAAAAAAGAACAGATTTACGTAAGGCTGTTAAAAAACTGTCATTTTCAGTAAAATGAAATCATAACTTCACTGATGTATATCCTAATTAAATTGGATACGGTAATAGAATAGTTGTAAACTAGAGAGCCTAAAGAAACAAAAGATTGATGACAATCGTCCTCTCGTGTTTCCCGTATTTTTTAAATATTCTATCGGAAGCTTTAAAAAATCTATTGAAACTTAACTTTTTCAGCCATCATTTTGTCACAGGCTGATTTCCATACATTGCAGTCTAGGTTTCTATCATTATTTGATTGTCATATTTCTTTTATTTTCTTTCTTAGACTTCTAGAGCAAACTGTATTTCAACAAGTGGTTCATGGGTAACTGTTGGTTGTACCACCGGTGTTTGTCTATTATTTGAAGCTGAAAGTTTGCAATTTATAGCTAAACTTCCTTTACCTCATTCGTTGGGTTCCAGTTTACATGTAAGTTGTGCTGTCTTCCTGGTGCATAGTAATATTTTCTTTTTTTAACAGAAAATATGTATATATTGATTTTGTTGTAAAATGTGATTTCTGTCCGATCGTTTGAGGTTATGAGAATTATACAATATCAGAAAGGGGGGTTGTGGAGATTGTGGTAATTTTGATAGTCGAATTTATGAATCGATGTAATCTAGATCATCGTTGAAAACCTGGAAGCACTGGATGACCGTTCCGCTCTAATATGAGACTTCCTAGCATTGCACATTCACGATCCCGCACATGGGACTCGAACCCAGGACCTTCCGTCTCGCGCGCGAATGCTTAACCTCTAAACCACTGAGCGGGCATCCAACGGTGATCATGCAGCTTAGGCAACCTTTTTCTCAGATCCATCTTTGTAGATATGTGAAATCGCTGCTCCAATTCCATAATTTGACGTATCTACTGCGACCACAAGAGGAAGGACTGGATCATAGTGCGTAAGTAGAAGGTTTGACGGTAGGAGCTGTTTTAGTTTTAGAATGCTTCTTAACATCCTGTTGATCAGATGCATTTGATATTCTTTGTTAGTAAACAATTCAACGGGGCACGCAGACGATGCAGGTCTAGAGGGTAAACACCTTAATGGCTAACCATCTCCAAGAAGGAACTTAAGTTTGATATATCTATCGTGGATGCATGATCTTGATAGCCTCGACGTTTTCTGGATCAGGTTTTTTTTCCATTTTTGTCGACTATGAATCTCTAATAGCACACGTACTCCATGTATAAATCACATCATAGGAAAGGTCTCTCAGATTCTTGCGAAGAATGGAGTTGGTGTAGCGTTCATCTTCAACTGTGCATTAACTCTATCTACGAATTTGATTTTGGTGGTTTAACCAGTTTGACATTCGAATCCTGGTTCAAGAAATATGAAGCTGTATTCTCGGTCGACTTTGAAAAATTCGATGGTGCCACAAAAGTCAGAGTTCTACTACACAAGCTTGGCACAGATGGAGATGAACGAAATTTTATTGCAAATCTTTGATGAACAGTGATCTTTGTTCAATATTCATTACCAATATTTCGAGTTAGCAAATGCTGGCGCCGATGACTGGGTGCAATATGCCGGCCTAGTAAATCGCGAGTGTGGGCGTTTTAAATTATCGGCAATGACAGCAGACGAGTTTAAGTGTCTTGTTTTTGTATGTAGCTTGCAGTCGCCTGAAGATGCCGATATCAGAACCAGAATTGTGAATAAAATTGAACAATGTCCAAAGATAACTCTGTAAGAAGTAACCACTGAATGTCAGAGGTTAGTGAACTTGAAACATAACACTTCTATGGTGCAAAACAGTTGTTGGCCACCATACGTGCAAGTAACAAATGTACAAAAAAGATTGTTTTACATGAAAGCAGGACAGCTCAAACAAGTAGTCTTCATCACTGTGCTGGTTATGCAGTGAATGACAAACATTACACGAAGTTTTGTCCATATAAAAACTACTATTGCACTAAATGTCACCATAAGGGACACAAGGAATTCTGCTGTAAAGAGAAGATCTATCGTCGTCCACAGCGATTTTATTCCAGGTGACATAAATTTCACGCACCAACCAGTCAAATAGTGGTAGAAAAGCCAAAGCTATGTATATATATATATATATATATATATATATATATATATATATATATTTCTGTTGAAATAGATGGATTCATCAAATGCCTCATTTTAGTGATTATCTAGTTGAGTTGAGTTTATCATAAATCTACATGTTTGTTTAAATACTCAAGAATTCTTTCTTTACATAAATTGTTTTTTCTTTGTACACATTTTCCTATTATACTAAGTGATTATATTCGTCAGAATATTTAAATTTATGGATTGTTCTAAACAATTACACTTTCTTCTAGCACCAATCAAAAGTGTTGGTTGACTATTTAGTCGATTCATTTATTTTTTAAAAAAAAGTGAAAACTAACTTTCATGTCTTGTTGTATTTAATGGTATTATTTTAATTCCCCTGAAAAGTCTCAAATCGCAGTGATTTCATAAATTTATGTGAACACACACACAAAGCTTTAAAGTTATTTGTCGCATAGATTTAATCATGTATGTGACAAAGTAAACAGTTTGGTTGGAAAAATTCCTTACCGTTAACTATTTGTGTCCGTTTATATGTTATGACTGTTGCTATGTGGGAAGGCGGCGGAAACAAAAACTAGAAATATAAAAATTGAATACGTGTTCTTTGTGTGCAAATATTATGTGTAATTTTCTCATGAGTATTTATCTCATGATTGTTTTCTCAGAAAAATGTTTTACTATATACTTCCAGTTGTAAACTTTTGTTTGGCTTGTGAATTATGTTAGGTTTTCTTCTCAAGTCAAAAATGATAATCTTTTAATTATAAGTAGAGTTGATTTGTTTCTAATGACGCAAAAATATCTTCGTTTGGTAAACGTACTGCTATTTACAAATTATATGATACATTGTTGTTTGATATATTACTTGTTATATACAACCAGGAAATTTAATAGTTCTGTCTAATCAAAAATAATAGAGAGTTGTAGAAAATCTGCTCTGCTACTGTTTGTAACTGGAAGTTGAGGCATACTAAGACATAGTTTGCATAGTTCTCGATTGTTTAACTAGTTATTTGTTTTGGAAAGTTTAGTCTCAGAAAATCATTTGAAAAACAAAATACAGGAAACATTAAACAATTGGTTTCATCTTTTCTCAGTGGGGTTGATTTCCTACCGGGAGGTCCACTTATTGACTTAGAATACGCAGTTGGTGAAGACACTGACAAAAGTCAGAGTCTTTTGATAGCACTAAGCAATATTTCCAGGATATTTGGGATGCGTTTCTCCCTCTTTAAATGCAAGTTGTTGCTTCAGGACTGATCTGTGTCAACACTTGAACTAAGGATAGGGAATGAAGTAGTCAAGTGCATCGACATTTTCACTTATCTTGGAAGTCTGATAATCCCTATCGACTTGGTTTCTGACAAGTTTGTGCACAAATTCGAAAAGCTCGTTTAGCTTTTGTCAACTTACGTCACCTATGTCGAAGGCAAGATATCTGTATATCAATTAAGAGATGAGTGTACTGCTCAGCAGTTTGTTCTGTTCTACTTTACGGCTGCGAAACGTGGCCATTTAAAGTAGAGGAATCTCGTAAGTTACTAGTATTTGATCACAGATGTATTAGAAATATTGCTCGCATCTGCTAAGGTCACCGGTTAAGTAATGGTGAGGTTAGACTCAGAGTATTAGGAAATGATGGTAAATCAGTTGATGAGGTTGTAAATCTTCATCGACTGAGATGCTTGGGCCTCGTATCACATGTCTAACTACCGATTACTACGGTGTTTTTGAGACCGATGGGAGGAAGCTAGGGTTGGTCAAATCAAAACGTGGCATCAATTCTTGAAGTCACTAACTTCTGGTCTGAGCCATGTTGGTAGATTCTGACTACTTGGTTGCGGTCCACGCGACTACTGTAACCAGTGGTTGGAGACTCTGGGTTCACTATCGATCACAATGGTGTGGGTGTATACACTCTTTGTCTTCCCTTAAGCCTTTAGGTTAAGATTACTTCATATCCTTCTTTCTACGAACTAATTCTATTTCCTTGTATCATATCCTAATATGAAGTGTTTTTTATTACAATTAAAGTAACTACTATGAATTTGGTGTTTATCTTGTTATGCTAATGAGATGTGGCGACTTGGGTCGATGCATATATGTGCCTGGTCTTACGTTGTAGCTGACTGACTGACAGGATAGTGTTTTTTTCAATGCACACACAACTGTTTATTCAAATGATAACGAACTCAGTATTTTTGTCTTAGTTAAGGTGGGTTGCAATTACCAGTGGAGTCCAGGATGTGTGTTTCGTTTTCGCTGGGATGTATCAATTAAACATATCTGCATCTCAGTTTTGACGTTTACATCGGTATTTAAACATCTTATACACCTAACTAATATATCTCATCTAGGATTGAACGCGCCTCCTGGATTCCAGTCCTGTTTACTCTCAGTATTAAACAAAGTTTATGTCTGGAGATGTTTTTGAAGTACTTCGTTCAGGGCGCGCTTGTGCCAGAAAAGATTGGGTAAACAGAATCCTTTATCTCAATAATCATATAACTGGGATCATTACATGAATATTGGTATCTGTATGTTTGATAATCAACACTATCATTTTTTAAACAATTAGCTGAATTTCCAGTATCTAAAGATCTATTTCTAGTGTTTTCTGTATTTCAATCAATTCTTCGACTTATGTCAATTCATATTGAAAATTATCTTCAAGACGTTTTATTACAAGTATCAACATTACTTATAGTATCGATAATGACAATTTGATCTTGTTTTTCAGCTTTTTCCAGATGTTATTTCAAGTGGGCTTAATGTAAATGAACCCATTTACCCTGATATTATTGCAATTAAATTGGATTGCATACGTAATCGTATAATTTGTTTTTATAATGATCATAGGTAAGAACGAATGATGTTGAAGTATTTTATATATGCTTATTTTGTTATTGATAACCGGACAAGACTACAACTCTGCTTGACTGTATTTGTTTTGTCGTTTTAATTCATAAGAATTCGCTTTTGTTTTTTTTATATTGAATGTGATATATTAATCGCTAAACAATATAAATTAGCTCATCCAACTACAATTGACATATTCATGTTGAAATCATCTGATAAACATCATGATTCAGTCATATGAGAATCTTTCAAAGCTAATGACTAACATTTTCAGTTTTAACTGATCTAATTACTATTTTGTTCTCTTATTATTCAATATATATCATCTTGTGCATCGACATGTACGTAGCATGAAAGCGTTTTTCTAACTCAAGGGTTAATTCCTCAAGTACTTAAATTACCTACTTACGCCTGTTACCCATCATGGAGGAGCATAGACCATACACCAGCATTCTCTATTCAACTCTGTCCTGGGCAATGCTTTCCAGTTGCTATTGATCCTTTACATGTCTGCTCCCAGTTCCCGACTCAATGTGTCCTTCGGTATTCTTCTTTTCTGTTTGCCTTCAGGATTCCAGGCCAGGACCCGCCTTGTGGTGAAGTTTGATGGTTTCCACAATGTGTATCGTAACCACCTTTAACCTCTTCTTGTAATTTTCTCTTCAACTGGGAGCAGGTTTGTTCTCTCTCTCAGTAGGTTTTTACTGATGGTACGTGACCGACGAAAAATTAGTATATTGTGTAGTCAGTTGTTTATAAATACTTGTACGATGGTAGTTCTCCGCGTTTCATCTCGGTATGGTAGAACTGTTTTTACGTTCGTATTGAAGATTGTGACTTTGATGTTGGTTTATAGACGGTTGTTTTGAATTCCTTGTGTTTTTTAACTGTAGGAATGCTGTCCTTGCTTTGCCAAAGCTCGCTTTTATACATGCAACAGATCCTTCTTGTTTATCGATGATGCTAACCAGATACGTGGAATTTTCCACCTCTTCCAGAGTTTCTCCATCAATTGTGATTGGGTTGGTTGGTGTTCTGTGTGTTGTATTTGGGGATGTTGGTTTTTCGGTTGTGTATGTTGAGGCCTACTGTTGCAGAGGCTGTTACTACACTAGTTGTGTTGACCTGCATTTTTGGTGTGTATGGGGTGGGATAGAGAAGCTAGTTCATCTGCGAAGTCCAAATCTTCTAATTGATTTTGAGCTGTCCATTGTATTCTGTGATTTCGTTGAGATGTAGAGATCTTCATAATCCAGTTGACTAAGCTTTGATCAATTGTATGAAGTGTATACCACTCTCTACTGGACACGGATCGGACTCGAATAGTCACATCTTCTCACTAGAACTCCTGGAAATCCATCTTGATGCTAGTCTCTAATGAGCACGGGATAATTGTCGGTATAGTTTTGTGGATGTTTTTGAGTTAAGGTAGACATCGTAAACAGTTGAGTTCATCCGTTTCTGTTGTTAAATAGTTACGCACTGAAGACAATAGTGGACGGTCGCGCGTCGTCGTGGATTGTTTGATGTTAGATATTAACACTGTTTCATGCCGGTTCAGTGATTTAGAGTTTAGGCTTAAGCGTGCGAGACCGAAGATCCTGGGTTCGATTCCCATGTTGGGGATCATGGGTGAGCAATTCAACGAAGTTCCGTACTACGTCGGAACGGCCGTCCAGTGATTCCAGATTTTCTTATGTGGTCTAACATTGATCCATTCGTGATATCAATCTAAACTCACCAGCCTCCACAACACTATACTTATAATAATTTTATCCGTGATAATTTTATTAAAACGAAGGAGATGTTTAGTCACTTGAAAATATTCAACCAAAAATGGCATTTTTTGCTTTGTTTCTTCAAGTCTGTTCTAATGAGTACAATTAATATTTCCACTGAAATTTTTGTCATTATTTTGTTCATTAAAGCATTCATGTATGGGATATACATGACTTAACAACGATCAATAAATGTCGATCGCATTATTACCATAGTCGAGGTATTTGGTCAGTGGATTGTTTACCGGAACAATGGCGACAGAACAATAATAACATCGATAACAATAATAATACGATTCCATTAAATCATTTACAATCTTGGTGGTCGAATGATATGTTTGTCACATGTTCTGATGATGGAACTGTTCGATTTTGGAATCTTCTTGGAAATTGTCAGTCGACAACAAATAATGTTACTGATAATGGAATTAGACTGTCAACAAGTGTTCCAGGCAATTCAGAATTTATAGGATCTACAACGTTCGAGTGTACAGAAGTAAGTGAATGCATAATTTCTTAAAAGTATGTTTTAATTGGAAAAAAAACATACAGTGGTGTTGATTAGTAGTTATTATTCTTCCTTCCATTTAGCGAAATAGGTTACGTAACTTTAATTCAACCAAACCCTGTGTTTCAATAGATTTGTCATTCATTTAGAGTTTGTTTTTCCTACATAGTTTGTCAACCATATTTTCTTCCAAATGTTCTATTTTCATTGATTATTAATTGTATATATTTATTTCGTTGAATACCGTTGAGAAAGTTTATAAAAAGACGAAATATTACAATGTTTATTCATTTCTATTCATTCATAATCATTATTTCTTAATGAAGTTGCATAAAACAAATTGGCTTTATCTATTATTTTCCTCTATAGAATATCTTAAACCATAATAATATCAAGATATATATATATATATATATATATATATATATATATATATATATACCAGCTAATTCTTTCTTCCTGTACTAGTCCTTATATGCAATCCTTTTTTATATATTACCACCACTGAATTAACTGCTTCTATGAATCCGGTGTTCATCTTCCTGTAATAATGAGGTATGGCAATTTGGACCGATGCACATATGTGCTTGGTCCTACTTTGTAGCTGACTGACTGACTTTTCTCTTGTATAATCTTAATAAACAACTTTACAATTGAATTTTATCCATAAATTTACTGTGGTTGTTGATTCGTGACAATACTTCTATTTTTTTTAAATTGTAATTTCTCTCCTGACAAAATAAAAAGGTGTTCGTGATTCTTTTCTAAAAATTTTTTTATTTATAGTAGTGATAATAACTAATCTGGTCAAACGTTTACCAGTTCAAATCAACAATAGGTCAACACATTTGCTGAAATTATATTTTATCACACATTATAAACGTTCATATAGGTCATATGAATGGATTTCAATATTCATATATTATATGGTTGATAGTTGTAAAGCAATCTTTTTTTTCACAGTAGAAACTACCATTCGGTCTAAGCTAGAACACCACTGAAAACCTGAATGCACTGAATAGACGTTTCGTCCTAGTATGTGACTCCTTAACAGTGCGCATCCGCGATCCCTCATTCAGGACTCGAACCCAGGACTTTCAGCCTTGCGCGCGAACGGTTAACTTCTAGACCACTACGCTCTCCATAAATCCCCATACTGATAAGGATTTTTTTCATATAATAGGCAGCATTGGTCTATCATATCATTAACCAAGGAGTTCAAAGATTTTGAATATATGATTTAAAAGGTTAATGAAAGAAACATTAGAGTTAAAGAAAAATATGTATGTTCGAAAAAATAGTTATATATATAACATTGTTTTATATATTTTTATCGATTATTGTTACAGTCAGAAGGCTTACATGACTTGTATCTGTTTATGTCACATTATATAATATTGGTATTAATCCATCAATCAACATAAACTCTCGCGACTATAATTATGAATGTGAAATATAAACTAACTAATGATTTGTATTTCCCCACTTTCTTGGTTATACAGTAATAGACTTATTTAATTTCTGTTGCTATAATAAATTTTTTATCGAGATGCTTTGATACGTTTACAAAGGTAATAACTAGTGGTCATGTCCCAGATTGTAAAGCTGGATGATTCAGGTTTGAATTCCACAGGGAGCGTCAATTCTCTTACGATTTCAGGTACACTTTGTAGACGATTACCAACTAGCACCAAATCGGTATCTAGGGGTTCTTATCAACTATTACCATTCATCTCATATTTCGACATGCTGTCTATTGCTGCAAATTAATGATTTTTTAAGCAGTACCTATGATGATAAAGAGTTTATAGAGATTTACACAAAGCATGAATGATATTATTTACAGAATATAACTAATTCATTGCTTTCTCTTCAACTACATAGAAACTATTATGTTTGATCATTTCCGATTGTTAACATAATGTTGGGAAATGAATTGTTAATCGATGCTAAATAAATTTTGTGTAATATGGAGGAAATTAAGAGTTCAAATTTTGATAAGAGGGTGGGGTCCTTTTTATAAATACTGAAGGTAATAGTTCTAGAATATTCACTCACTTTCATTTTTTGTAAATTAAGTAAGGATAAGAAAGTATGTGAATTTAGCTCAAAATAGAAATACAGTGACAAATGAAGCTGACATAATCTTTAAATGCAAACATTCATAGAACAGACTGATTAAACCAGCTCACTTCTGCATGTGACGATACAAACTGCCATAAAATCTACTTGTACAGTTATAAACTTTCCTAAATCAAATCAATTTACTTTTTATTGAATAAATGGTCATTGTTTTACTGTTTATTTTAGCAACTTGCTGGCATTATATACACTGATCCAAGTCACAAATATCTATGTACTATTGATCGTTCTTCAAGTAAGTTCCACATATGAATCTAAATTTGTGTTTTTGTTATTTAAAACTAGGCTTGGCAGTCTTGTTTAAAAAATGTTCAGTGATACAATTTAGTAATTTGTTGGAGATTGAGATATTAAATCTTAGAAAATAAAATATCTATTTCATCATAGTGAATATATATTTGTTTTCTTCCAAATCCATCTTTTACAGCGTCTCATTTTAGCTGTATAAAAGGTTATTCCTTCCCTTAATAGCTCAGAGATAACATCTCAAATTCTGAAGCTGGGTGATGCGGATTCGAGTTCAGCATGGACCATCTGTCGTTTACGAGTACACTTTGCTGACGAGTATCAAATAACACGGTAGCTAAGTTCATGGTTTTCTTTCAACAACCTTCAATCGTCTGATACTATGAAAAACTAGACAACTGTTTCATTCTAGTTCAACGTTTCTTGTTATATCAAACCCTCGACAGTCTTACGATTGGCTCTAAATTCAAACTACTGAACTGGGAATTCGCTAATTTACATTTTTAACTTAATCAGATTGCGTTATAGTTCGATCTACATCCCATTTCACTGATGATTTATTTTTACACTCCCGGTTTGTTTGACTATAAAAACATATATCTTCATTTTAGTGAAGCTAGGAAGTATAGGTCATTGAATATCCCTTACTGTCTATTGTAATTCTATATACATTTATTTGTATTCGTCGTTTTAGTCTTCCTGTTGGTATTTCAGACTAATTGATTAGTCTCTTTTTCACATTTACATCCTGTGCGGTTTGTCTTGATATTGTCATTAAGTCACAAGCATCATGAGTAGAGATGGATGTTGGCTTGCAGTGGCTAATCGTTAACTCCGGGGTACAAGGACATTCAGCTGAAAATTTAAAGGTAGGATTCCATTTCTAACCAACATTCATCTCTGTTTATGGTAAGAATTATAGTTTGAAGTATTTTCAACAAAATACTCGGCAGAGTATAGACTGTTCATATAATTTTGATGCTGTTATGGAAACTATTCGAAAAGAAAATAATCGAAAAGGCTTTTTTCTAAATGCAGGTTTGGATTACATTTTGTGTAAGGTGAACACTGTTTCAGTTATTATCTGTTGAATCTCAACTTGCTACATACTATTTGACAATTAGATTTCGAAACAATCCTAATATAAAAGAATCCATCTGCAGATTTGAGATGATTGTTTTTCTTTTTTTTCAATAAGGTGATTTTCGTTGAAATTAGTTGTATAATCAACTTATTGTGAACAATTTTTCGCTTATGTGGCAGTTTCCTATTTTATGAAGTTCTTCGGTGTATCAGTGAATGTTTTTAGCCATGAGGATAAACTTTTCGCTCAGTCCTTGGTAAATTGTATCGAAGGATATCGATTTACCCATGCATACTATCCTCCTGTATACTTGGGTTTTTCTGAAAGTTTTGTTTTATTATCTGTTAATCAAAGCACCCAAGAATGGTTTTCTTTAGTAGTTTATTTGTGCCTTTTCCTTTCAAATTTAAATTTCTCGATTGCGAATAAACTGTGTGTTATGCCTCAAAGGGACAGCCGATTATATGACAGTGACTTATCGATCGGATCAAGGATTCAGAATCTCGATAGTCTATTCTGGTCCGTTGTCCCCAACTCTGCTAACTCGATCAAAACGTCTGGGTAAGGTGTAGAAAGTGTATTCTACAGACAAACAGCAGATAACAAGTCAAGTCAAGCACACAAATCAAGCGTATTTATACAAATATTTACAATCAATATTGTCATGGAAGATTTTTGAACATTAATCAACAATTGACTGCTATTTGAACATTTAATCGATAGTTCATCAATTGACCTATTTGTACGTTTAATCGATAGTTCATCAATTGACCTATCTGCACATTTAATCGATAAGTAAATTACAAAATTTGAGTTATGGGGGTCTATCGTCCCCAACACTGTGAAATGTTAATTAACCATGAGATTAATTTCTTCAAGTTTCCGTTATAATATCAAGGAAATCGGAAATTATGTCATTGATTACTCATCGATAGCATTAGCTTTGATAGTCGCAGTATATCAATATTTAGTTGAATTTTGTATTATATAAACGGTTAGATACCTACTTACTGATCTCACGGTATTGTCACATGGTAATTGTCTCAAAGTAACTGACACTAATGAAATTCCTTGGTCTTATGGTTTTTATCGATACTAGAGCGCAATCGATCCTAATGAATACTAGAAACACTTATTTTGACTACTCAAGGTAATATGTATTTTTAATAGGTAAGGTGTATCTCTAGTCCTGTAAGCTTGTTTGCTGCAATCCACTTCAAGATGTAAAATGAATGAATGAAATCTTACTTTGTTATGGTAACTTGCTCGTCTATTGCTATTTTCATCTCAGAAACTGGTAATTTTTTCTATTTTCCCTTTTGTTTGTGTTTTTTCTTTCTTTCTTTCTCTCTCTCTTCTTCTCAATCAATCACTCACCCACCCACTCACCTGTTCCATTTTTTTATAATCCTCCAGTTGAAATTACCTTGTCTAAATTAGAAGGTAAATCATATAGACATTTATGCATATATATGTGTGAAATTTTATTTACATATACATACCTCTGTGTTTATGTCTACATGTGTAAAAATGTATCCATGTGTTTTTCTTTTGCAATCTCATTTCATTTCGCATGATATTAAGCTAACTAATATTTTCATCGCTTTTTTTCCAATGCATGTCTGATATATATATCTGGTTGACCCATCACCATGATCATTTGCACATGTGCATCGATTGGAATATCAAGTTAATGAATTATTGACCACTACTGTTTTTGTATTCATTTCATATCATTTTTAAGTTGAGGTACTTACTTGTAGGGAAACGTGTGACCTATTTTCTTGCGATTCATCGGATGAATGTCTATATAGATACTTTCATTTCAATATCACCTTTTTTCACACGGACATCGAAACCTGAATTTGTGTTTGGTGGAAATCATCAACTTAATAACCATCAATAATCAAAGATCGTTGAATATTTTCATTTCGTCGTAATAATCTTGGGGTATCACAACGATGTGATCCACAGTCCCTTATATTTGAATCATACGACAAAGTGTTTGTCAATGTTAATTGTAAACATTTTTAGTTAGAAAACAAAGTTTCTATCGTTTTTGGATTGATTAAATCAATCAGGAAATTGATCGCTCAATATATCAGTCGTCAGAATATAGGGTCAAGTAAAGCAAAAAAAACTGGCACATTCAGCAAAATAATGCAAAATCGAATCAAAGAAACGATCAAGGTTTAAAAATGTAAGACAAAATAAAAGGGATTACAAGTTGAACCAAAAGATGACCATAAAACACATTAATACAGAGAGTTAAAGGAATAACGTTATGTGCAGTGTGAAACAAGAAGTCTCTTTGACCACACACATGGTGTGATTTTCTTACACAAGCAGACACACACATACATACAAAAGGATTCTACACGGGTGTCCGAAATCCCTCTATATGACACGGAAGCACCCTAGTCACTTTCAGTTATAGCTCCTCTAGCTAACTTGTCAACGTCACTGGAGGGTGTAGGATTTACCCAAGTACGCCTGCATACTTTCTTTATGCTAGGGTGTCATAAGATATTCAAACATAAAGAAATCATGTTTGCTATATTAAACAAAGCAAATTAAATAATCTCTCCCAAGTGATGTGAAGTGGCTTTCGATATCACACAATAAATAAGTATATTTGTTTCACCGCAGCCATAAACTCAGCACTGTTTTAATCCTCAAATGATTTTTCCAGTTTTTTCTTCTGTGCTTCCCTGTCAAGATAGATTGGATGAGTGTGCTCAATTTGACAATGCAATCTCATCGATCTAAGTGTTGACATTGTCATATTGATTATCATCATCCTCATATACCTTATGAAACAGGCTTTGAGCTTCATCCGTAAAGTAGAATCCAACATGGGTCAGTATGACTTAAAGTCCAATCACTACTCGCAGTATTTACAAAACATCCAGTTGTTTAATACCACAGTTATATTCGGCTAGTCGGACGATATATCGAATTCCATAGAAAGTTTGGTCGTGAAATACATCTAGCTTGGAATATAGTTAACTCGGTGATGTTTTTCAGTTGAACCTCAATCGGTTCCATATTTCGACAATAAAGATTTTAGCCACACCTCCATTTAGTTTGACTAGATCACATTTATAATCACTCCTAATACAATCAAAGCGTAGCAGTCAATTTTACTACCAAGCCTAATATCTCTATTAGGGGAAAGCCATTCAGTGTAAACTTATCGAATGCGTCTTGCTGAACAAGCGTAAAGTCTTCCTTGAATTCCATCTTTATGTGGTCTGTTTTGGTTGTAATTAACTTTTTTTTAGTTATCTCAGTTTCGAAAAAATCCTTAATCATTATTTCTGTACCACCTGTATTTTTTACCCTTTATCATTCTCATTGTCATCAAATATCAGTGTTTGTTTGTTTGCGTACATTTCGATTAACATTTAAACGTGTGCACATATCCATACTTTTATCAGATTTATGGTTGGCCAGTTCCATAAATCTCCACGTTTTGGATTTGCGGGTAACATTAGTATTCGGTTTCTCTTTGGAAAATTATATGAATCATCAATATATTTATATTCATATATGTGCATTTTGGTGCTGATTCATTAGTGTCTGTCTCTAACCTTATCCACCGTGTTTTACAGATAAGGTGATACAAACTGTAACTAAAATGTCTTCTGTTATGCGAACAACTATAAAGTAAGAATAATTACATACGATCGGGCGAGAGAGAGAAAGAAAGATGAAACTTAACTGACCAAAAACTAAAATACTGTATTGTAGTTTGAAACATTCAGCTCATTGAAATTCACTGAATAAAGAGAAATAAGCAATTTACTTGTACCTATAGTTCTGTTAGATGATTTGACGTTCTTATGTTTAATCTCATATAGCAGATCGACAATCCAATACTCACTTTTTTTTTACTCTTCATCACTAGGTGATCATGAGAAACAGTTATTTTTGACTGCTATGGTACACCACTTAGACTGTCACCGATTTTTTATCTTAGTCTCTTTGAGTCATCTGAAAGACTAGTAAGAAATAATAACGTTTATACTTCAGAAAACTTTACTTTTATCAAGGCATTGGCGTTTATCTCGCAAAAACCTACGCCACGGTAGCGTTCGAAAAACGTCTTCGCATCAGAATACATTTATCTCTTTAAAAACCAACAAGAATACTGATGTATTGAATTACTGATAATTTATATTAGATAAGTAAACATTCTTAACTAAGAATAAGTTTTCTTTGAGACAGGACAGAAATTTTCACTATCCAAGAAAACAGAGGATGTGGGGAAAGAGAATATACATATGATGAATTCGGATTTATCATTCGTTTCGTCTTTCTCAATTTAATATCATAAACAGCTTTGTTTAAACTAAACTGAGTTTACTGCTCACCAATAGTTTCGTTTTGTATTTCAAAAATCCGTTTCATGCAGTAAATTTGTTATGATCGCCATCTTTCACACAATAAGATTCGTTGTGTGGTTAATGTGAAAAGTGATGTTTTGAGAAATATAAAGACAATTAGTCATCAACTACTACTATCAGCCCCTTACAGAATCGAAATCAATCATGTTTTGATTGGGCTTCTTGTTATAAATCAAACAGTTTTCGAATGTATTCAAACTTTAGTTATTTCCCGTAAGCCATTACACTCGTTGCTTTATTGTCGAGGTAGTTGAATTTTTATGCCACTAATTCCAATCAATAGTCAAATTTTATGATAGTCATTGAAGTTACATTAGCTATGAATCTAGTTTTGTGTTAAATCTAAAGTGGTCATTTTCAAGAAGTAAAATATAACGAAATTGTTCATAATTCTTTGCTTCCCATTCGTTCCATAGCAGTCATTAGTTAACTAAAATGACTGATGTTTTTTGCATATTACCTACCTGAGTTAAATATATTTTATTTCCCATAGTCATTATCAATTTAAAGTATGATTCTACCTTTCGCTTTCCTCGATACTTTAAATTCCTCTTTTCTTAGCATGATTTAACGCAACGTTTCACTTAATAACACGTGGGATGTAGTGTTGTCATACCAATGAATATTTCAAGTTGAAAGTATATAAATGTATATGTGTATATAATATAATTATGAAATCTTTATTCCACTCATTGAATTTATTTACATGTCTTCTCTTCGATGGCTTTGGTAAAGGTTTGCCTACTTTTGATTTTTCACTTTTTTGTGCTGTGACTACTTATATTGGGAAAAAGTACTGAATTGGAGTTTCTAGAAATTAAATACAGCATTGTTCCAGTTGGAGCTTGATATTCTGAGCTTTAATATTTTCTGAGATCAATCAGTCTATGTTGAAACTGTGAATGATATAGGTTTTATTGTGTTTAACAGTAGTTATTTACTGAATCGAAATGCGTAAATTGGAAGCACACACTTTAGTTAAACTCAATGTTCCTAGCGATCATTATATCAAACTCCTCGGCTTCATGTTAATATCCCAATTTATTGATCACAGATAGTTATTAGCTGGACGTAGATTGGATTTAAGTTTGTTCCATGAAGGATTGTGTTGGGGTGCGCTGATTGGCTGTTTTCCAACCAATCAGCGCTAGTGGAGACTTGGAGAAGACTAGAATCGTATGTTAAAATTATAGATAAACTAACGTTTTTCTTATCGCGATCTATACTTCCATTCAAATTTCTTATTTGGAATACAATCACGTTCCTGTTCAGCTGTATTCGGATTTGGAAACTTGTTGAGTGAAGTAGTGCTCAAGAATAATAAACAATGAGAGTAGCTGGGTCGTAATAACGAAATGTCTAATAATATTCAAAACTCTTACTCTATGGCATAGTTCAGTGAATCAAAAATAATTGAATTATTTTTGTAATAAAGGCATTTGAGTATTTACTTGTACATAAATCACACACAAACACAATAGTGCTCTAACATATAAAGATTCATGACCTAAGGGTAGAAACAACTGTTTAATTTTTTGATGTTTTCAATATTCTTGCAAACAAAACCAATTTATTATAAATGTATAATTGGAATTTAATAATTTCTGAACACGTTTTTCGCAAAAATGTTAGTAAGTAAGTATTTCTGTATTGATTATTTCAAGAAAGGATAAATCTAAAGTACGTCAGTTACTACCATACATTTTTTTAATGATTGTCTCTGAGTAGTAGTTACCATGTGCCAGTTTATTTACTCAACTTTTTTTTAGCACAGTGTTTTTAAGAAGACTAATAACACACTGTCTAACTGCGTTCAAACTAAAGTAGGCCAAGAGAAGTTTAGACTTGGAACTTACTAGTTGAAACATTTCACAATCCATGTATATGAAATAAATTCACTTGATAAAGACAGTAAAAAGAAAATCTCTTATTGCTTTTTTTAAGGTGGGATAGGTCTGTTAGGTGGACCAGGTTTTGTTCCTGGTACAAATGACCTGGGACAAATTGATTCTGCACTTCAATCACCTGCATCACCGTCACGTCCATCAATCAGTGAACATTGTCAGTTGATTTCTAGTTTAACGTCTTCACTTAATACTGTTGGTGCTAGCAATAATACTAATAGTAGTAACTGTACTACTGCTACTACCAATATCGGACCAACTTGTGTTCGTACCATTTGTATAAGTCCTGATGGTCGTCATCTAGCAGCTGGTGATCGTGATGGTAGTCTACGGTACGTGTGGTTTAATGACAATATTTTTGATTTTTCTAATTGGTTATTGTGATTAATTTTCTAGTATTTCATAATTTGTATTGGTTATTTTGATCCTACCGTTGATCTAATGAACTTCAGATGTCAGCCGCTTTCGACATATGTGCATTCTGTGCGAACTGCCTTGATATTGTCATTACGTTACAAGTATTGAAAGTAGCGTGAGACAGGACGCACTTTTCGTTCTATTTGACTCGCCGAGTGAATGTACCGTCACGCTAGTGTTGATTTTCACACCAAGACTCGGATGCTGTGCTTGTGACTTTGTTGCATTATCGAGGGTTCAATCAGATTTAAGTTTGTGGCTATGGAATTTTCACGCAAAATTCGGATGCGATAGAGGTTGTGTCTGTAAAATAACCTATATCTAGTTCTTAAGACGCCTTAAATTGCTAAATACATCTGTTGTGCGACCGTACAATAAATGTAACATAGTATGTGCAAGAAGCGCCTTACTCTTTATTCAGATTTTATCTGTAACGCTGATTACTCGTTAGGCGGAACAGATTTAATTCAGAGTGTAGTCAAGGTTATTTGTGTGGTTAAAAAGTATTCTCATATTTCAACCTCAACTCATAAGCATAACTCTAACCCTATTGCTACTTTTAATTCTTAATCTTATACCGTTTTGTGCACTATGGTAAATAATTCAACATATAAAGGATCGTTTATCATGTCAAAACTATTTATTCTATGTAATTCTATTTATTTCAATGATACATTGTTCTATAACTAGACACTGTTCTCCGATTGTCCAGTGAGTCGTTGAGGTCCATCAGTTTAGTTCTATGATACAGAAGTGTGCGAGTTGCGGGATAATTTATTGGAAATATGTAAAGCTTCACCGGGTATAGTTGCTGATAGTATATAAAAAAGATGAATTGTTTTAGAATTCCACTGCTATCGTCTATTTTTTCTCGCTTGTTTTTTATTCCTGTTTACTTACTACTAATATATGTTTATGTGTGTTCTATGATATAATTTATTTTGTTAAATAGATGAAAACTCCTAGTTTATAATCGTCCGCCTCTTAAACTTTCTACTGTCATTCGTGTAAACTTTATGGGAATGTTTTTTTTAATATTCCTTTTGCATTAATTCATCATTGTGGAGGAAAAAAATTTAGAATTGTTGGTATGCGACAAGCGATCACTTGTATGTGTGTTGGGTCTATTTTCGTTCGTCTGTTTCTTTTGTCTGTATATAAATGAAGACGGTTGTCGATAGTTATATGTTGACATACTTACATAGTGTTAGATGGTCGAAGGTAGTTGACAGGAAACCGTAGACCTATGTTTCTTGCTAGCTGACACTCATCGACAAGGTTTCTTACGAAACTTTAACCCAATATATCGAGCTTTCTAACCGTAGGTGTTACCATTGAGCTATTTGTGTTGTGATTATTTTATTTATTTAAACACATAAACATTGGTACAAATAGGCGCCAAATATATGTAATCCATAATTCATCATTCGATTTGTGTGAGGGCTGTAATACTTCCCGGGAGCACAAACCAACCAATGTGGTTTTCTTAGGGGGCCACCCTCCGAGCCTTTAACCCACAGCTCTAATCTACAAGGTCGTGGAGAGATGTTATGAGATGCAGTCCCATGGTAGCCGTTGACCAACAACGGGTTCATGCACTATTTGTTTCGTCACTTTCGTGTAGCCTATGTGCACCATTGATTTGGAGTCAGGGTTCTTCAACTCCTCTAGGTGAATCCTCCATACCCACCAACTGTTAAAACGCCGAAAATCCACTCAATTTCCTCAACAACACTTCTTTCGCAAGAAGGCGCTGGTTGTATACTCATGAACATGTAAAAGCAACTCGAGAAGGAGAGCGGACCTTCCCCACCCTCAACTGTACCAGGGGATTTGGGGTGGGGATTGTGACTTACATATTGTAGCGTGTTTTTCATGGTATCTATCTGTCTAATCGTTATAAATATAATTTTATCGTGAACGTCACGAATATTTTCAAATAATTGGCATCCATTATTGGATATTTTTACGGGTAACTGCCTGTTTCACAATACGCTTTTTATCTGGCCAAATTCGCAGTCTCTTAGCATCAGTAAGGTTAATAGTATATTAAAAAAGTAAATAAATAAGATATCACTATCGTTTTGTTCGATATGGATGTTTGATGAAGCAGACTACTTTGCCAGATATAAAGCTAATGTAAGAACAACATATAGAAATGTGTTTCATTAGGAATTCTTAAAACTAATAATAAATATTTTTTTGAAAATTTATTGTTTCCAGAATCATTGTCTTAGGCATAAAATCTTAACCCATTGTATGATTAACTTGTTCGAATATATTGTGTAATCTTTAGATAATCAGTTAAATAATATTTGCTAACTGAAATTAAGTAATGGACACATGAATTCTATTAATGTAGGGTATAAGAAGAATTGTCATTTAATTATAAGTATTTACAGAATCGGTCTAAAACATCAATACTCATCATAAATCACATGTTTTCGAAGAAAATTCACAACTTTAATACATTTATGGGTGCTTGAGTCAGATTTAGATTTAACTGTTTGATAGGATTCACTTACTTTCACCTCAGTATATTATTTATATTATATTTTAATTACTGAAATAAAAATTTAGTAATGCAAGTTAATACAGGGTAATTTCATTCAATCAATGATATTATTAACACTCTCTGGACTCAACAATCAATCTTATTATATGAGTTTGAAACTTACTTTAAATTTAGATAAAGTTTTGTTTCAGGACTTCTCTAATATGTATCTTGTTCTGTAGTATATATTTTATGTTCTTCACAAAGACAGAACCAGAGAAAGAAAATATATGTTACACCGAAAAAAATATTAATCTCATATTTCAGATACCATCAGTAGTCTCAGTTGATTTTTGTTGTTACTCATAATAATCACGTAGCCACAATCCAAACTTGTCCAAATGAGACTCAGGTACAAATGACTCAAGCTTTATCGAAACATTTACACTACGTTAGATAACTTGTACTTGTACGTTATTGGAGTCCACTTTACTCTGGACATAAAAGGGAGTTTGCAGTAACGTTTCAAATGTGGGCGTAGAATGTTCGTTATTTTGTGAAACTGTTTGATGCATAATAACGCAATTTAACTTTTGCGGTTGTCATCCAATATGTGAAACATTACTTTGCAACTGTTTTATTCAACTACTTGAGTTTTAAAGCTGTGATTTGAAGATGGCTTTTAAGACATAATTACTTATCTACATACTTATGTGCTTACGCCTGTTATCCCCCACGGAGGAACAAAGGTCGCCCATCAGCATTCTTCATTAAAATCTGTCCTGAAAACTTGTTTCCTGTTCCTATTCATCCTTTTTATGTATGATTCCAATTCCTGACTCGGTGTGTTCTTTGGCCTTCCGCCTCTCATTTTCACTTCAGAATTCCAAGTTAGTGCTCGCCTCGTGATGTAGTTTGGTGATTTCCTCAATGTGTGTCGTATCCATTTCCAGCGTCCTTTCCTAATTTCCTCATCAGCTGGAAGCTGGTTTGTTCTCTCCCACAGTAAGTTGTTACTGATGGTATATGGTCGACGGACAATTAATATCTTGTGTAAACAACTGTCTATAAATACTTGTACTTTGGTGACGATGGTTGTGGTAGTTCTCCGCGTTTCATCTCGGTATGGTAGAACTGTTTTTACGTTCGTATTGAAGATTGTGACTTTGATGTTGGTTTATAGACGGTTGTTTTGAATTCCTTGTGTTTTTTAACTGTAGGAATGCTGTCCTTGCTTTGCCAAAGCTCGCTTTTATACATGCAACAGATCCTTCTTGTTTATCGATGATGCTAACCAGATACGTGGAATTTTCCACCTCTTCCAGAGTTTCTCCATCAATTGTGATTGGGTTGGTTGGTGTTCTGTGTGTTGTATTTGGGGATGTTGGTTTTTCGGTTGTGTATGTTGAGGCCTACTGTTGCAGAGGCTGTTACTACACTAGTTGTGTTGACCTGCATTTTTGGTGTGTATGGGGTGGGATAGAGAAGCTAGTTCATCTGCGAAGTCCAAATCTTCTAATTGATTTTGAGCTGTCCATTGTATTCCATGTTTTCTGTGAGGTATAGAAGTCATCACAATGTAGTCAACCTGTTACTTTCCCACTCTTGATTTGTCTGACTGCAATGCTGATTTCTTCGATCGTTGGTGGAGTGACAGCTATTAGACGGTCTATGTGTGCTGCTTTGATGTCCGGTGGGTTCTATGTGACTGGTTTATTCAAGAGTTTTGTAAATTGCTCTACCCAACTATTCCTCTGTTCTTGAACGTTAGTGATCAACTTGCCGTATTTATTCTTGACTGGTCTTGCTGGTTTACAATATTTTTACGCTAGCTTCTATATTGCGTCTCATTTTCTTCTCTTTCAGCGTTTTCCGCTGTCATCGCTAGATCCCCCACTTTTTTCTGCTTGTCAGCTCTGATGCCTCTCTTCACTTTGCTGTTTGCTTTTATAGATGAGTCTGGATTAGATGTCTATTGGTATATCTATGTCACGGAACTTGAGTAGAGGTGAATATTTAGTTACTATGTCTCCTTCAATTCCTTAAAGCTGATTTGGTTTTTTTTTCAATTATTTTTGAAAAAATGTCCAAGTTAAACATTGTGTGGTTATTTATCTGACAATGAGATCCAACAACTACAAAACCTCAAGTATACCTAAGCTCCTACTTGTGATGCTCAAGGCATGTGAGAAAAGTATTTGAAGCTTTAACTTACCGAACTGGATTTCAGTCAGTTTTCGTTCGTTCTTCTAAATTCATATAATACTTTATAATTCGTATAATCTTTTAATGAATTCATTTCAGAATAATTTGGTTTGAAAGGGTAGTTAGTATAACCAGTGTTTGCACAGTTAAATCGTTGCTTTTTAGTTTACATTTGACACGTTTACGTTTAATTCAAACAGTTTCCTAAATTTTGGTTTTCTGATTAAAGTTATTTATCTGTTAGTTATGGGAATTATGAATAATTTAAAACTTTCTATCCACCTTCTGAATTTTCGATTGATCTTTTAGTTTTTGCTGATTACAACATCTAGGTCAAACAGTCTTTTCACGTAGACCTAAAACAATGTACTTTGACGAGCGATTCTCACTGGTGCAGAAGTTTAAAGAAAGCCGAGGGCCACCAAAACGGGACATGAGATGAATCTGTGAAGTGATTGAGCGATATTTGTAAATACAAGCCAGTAGGTTGAGGTCTACGAGATAGCTGGGATCAGCGGTTGGTGACGTTGGCGACTAAGAGTCATTCACAATAATTTAGATACATTCACTTCTTATCTTGTTGTCGATTTTGAATTCCGGTATTTATTCACACATACATTTTTATTCTGTTTTCAAGTCATATTCTCAATGTTTAATCTTTCTCATTATCATTCTTGATATATTATTATTTCGGTTATGTTGGTGCTCTTTCATGTAAATTCATCTCATCGTGCTAATGAAATGCGTCAACCTGGGCTTAACGTATATATGCTCCAGGCTCCATATTGATTATGACTGACTGTCTTTGTACACAGATAGATGTACATAATTAATAAAATTATGCCTGCATGAACATATGATTGTATATTTATATCTCTTCTATTTATTGACCGTTATTAATTTTACATTATAAATAAATCATATGATATTTAAATTAAAGAGGTTTCTAAGCTTAAGATAAACACTGCTACTATTATTATTAGTTAACCCGTTAATCGATTTATAAACTTGTATATATATACATATATATATTTTAGAGTTTACTCTTTGGAGACATTAAAATTATGTTATCAGATACCTGCTCATGACAATGAAATTCTATCGTTGAATTTCTTTCAATCATATTCAGGTAAGTTGTCATTTAGAATTTTTTTCTTTTTCTAAATTGTTTGGTATCTACCTAAATGATACTGTTCCCTTGAATAGGTTCTTCTTTTTGTTTTGTCTTTCCGATATGATTCTAAGTAAAACTTGAAAGTTTTGTAAATATCTATTTATCAGTGAATTGTTTATCTACCACGCATTCGTCCTATTATTTTTCATTTTTATGTATTGTAACTAATAAAAATTATTTGTTATCGTTGCAACTAGTTGTTTGCGATGCTAGGTCCACAAAAATCACTTGCTAAACCTCCCAGTTTTGTAATTTTATTTTGGAAATTTCAGTTTCTCATTTTCGCAACAAAAACGCCCACTTTTACCTTCAGTTTGTATTTTCTATTTGGATAGACCTCAAATGTCATTGGTTCGTTTCCTCTTCTAGTACGCTATTTCGGACGTTTTCCTAGGTCATTTTTGTACTATATATATACACATGTGTTGTGTGCTTCTTCGTTCGTGCTTCCGACTACTTGTGGGATATGCGTTTCCCTTGGGGGGGGGGTCTGGAGTGCAATTGGATAGTTTATCTTATCTTTTTGTTTTTCTGACTTTCGTTCCACTCGCCAGTTTGTATGATAAGTTAATCTCTTCAAACGTAACATTAGTTCACAAAGATAAACAATATTTCACTTTTCATTAGTATAGTGACTTATTTGTTCTGTAGATGGATTTCTGCAGTAACATAGTATTTGAAAAACCAGTAATTAATAATTACTTTCAGCTAAACTTAGCATTTCATTACTATTGACCTATTGAATATAATAAGATAAATGAATTGCCTGTTTTCAGACCATTCCATTGTTTACCCCTTCCTTTCCTGTTATCTACATGCTTTGATATTATTGTGTAGTTTTTTTCTCGCCAAATGGTTCTTTCTCTTTTTTCAGTTCCTCAACTTTTATTGTTATGCTCTGCATCACGTGATCGTATGATTCATATATTTGATCCGAATAAAGAATATTCTCGTGTACAAACAATATCTGATCATTCGGGTGCTATATTTTCTGCAAAAATCATTGAAACAGATGATGGTGAAATTCGTTTAATCTCTTGTGGTATGGATAAATCATTATTATTTAGAATACTTGAAGTAAGTGTACTTATGTATTTATGCATTATAGTGGTGAAATGTAACTACATTAAAATGTCTAAATCAAGTCAATTTAAATTTGTTTTCCCAACCGTTGGTAATGTATTTCTGTTGTATAATGAATTCCATTACAAATTTATAATTGGATTTTTAAAAAAGTTTGAGGTTGATATGACTACAGCTTTACAATTCCATTCAGTAGAAGAAAAACTGGGGTTTTTCCGCGTAAATTAAAACGGGATATTTTATATTTTGTGAAATAATAGTAAATGCTATAATTTACTTTCTAAGTACATATTTATCTAATCTTTATTAAGTTATATCTGTTTTTATTATATAGGCTTATATTGCTTCTCAATTAATTAATTCAACGTGTAGGTGGAGCAAGTTTCGAACTTGCTATTTTTGATGTTCACTTGTGTTCACTTCATTCATTCTATATGTTTTACTAAATTTTAGTTAATATACATTTAGTGTACGGTAAAAAAAGAACAACTAAAGGGATCTTTTGTGTGAATAACATAATTCTACCTGAATATGATAAAATGTATTACATAATTGGTTATGGAAGCAGTATTATTCAGACTATTATTATTTGATCTTTCATTTATTTTGAACTTATTTTCTAAATCAAAGCCTGATGAATCTGGTCAAACAGCACATTTCGCACTTGAACACCATCTAGTTGGACGTCATTCCCAATTAGATGCTGCTATTACACCAATGTTACCTAGTTCAATAGAAAATCGAATGAATTCCACTAATCGTAAACGTTATCTAGCTGTTGCATGTCAAGATAGAAGGTTACGAATTTATAATGTTGTCACTGCACGTCCTGTACGATGTTATCGTGGAAGTTATACTGAAGATGGTTTTCTAGTTCGTTGTTCAATTGACCCAACTGGATCGCTTATTGCAACTTCAGGTAAATTTTTTCATTCCAGGATTTTTTTGGTACATATATTGTTTCAAATATTTGCGTTTGGTGAAACGAAAAAGATCATTTTAACTTTCTGTGTTAAACAGGTTTTGAAGATTATCATATTTATTTCACAAGAAATTATTGTAACGGGTGGACTGCAGGTTATGATAAGCAGCGTATATTTATCGATCGATCACAGTGACGCGTAAAACACGTAAGGACGATCTAGAGTCCCGATTGGCCTCGCTTCTCTGTCTAGCCCAGCCAGTTGAGTCTAGAACGCAAGTCACAGCCTCTGAGTTATGAATCGTTATATTTCAAACATACTCTGTTTATATACCAACCAAACAGACCACATCGTACCATAAAAATAGAAAACGACATCTGTACAATATTTAACGAGTGAAGTAAATAACGGCCAATAGGGAATGTTCATTTAACGTCCAAGGACATCATTAGACTTAACATGATAATGATTGGCACATTATTCCTCAACATCCATAACAGAAATGAGGTTTTAAATTGTTAGTTTGAGCCTAACATATTATTCTCTTTCTCATTTAACAATAATGGATCGTCGCAGCAGCTGAAGACTTTTGTACATTCTTAAATTTAAACTTCCATTCTTCAATTTTATCGTGATAGAGTCTAAAGAATATGTTTTTCAAACTGTACGATTCTTGGGTGTTACTTTAACTGTTTTCAATTACCGGCTGACGAATAAATTTTACTAGCTTGGATTAGTGGTGATAAATATTTAACTGGTTTTTATTTTTGGTATTACGACATCAGATTAATTCATTGATTGTTTGTGGTAATGCTCAAAGCTGATTATATTTCAAGATGAAGTTAACAGTTTGTTTCTAAATCCGAGGGATCCTAAGTTCAGCATTAAGAACCTAATTTATTTGTAGTACAAGAAAGACTGTTCATTGATTGTTCGGTTCCTATTATTTTTTTTACTTCGGGTGTATTCATAGTGAAAATAAAAATCGTATATTTACGCTTGCAAATAAATCATCGCTAACTAAAAATTATCATCAAACTATACGATGCCCACACAAAAAGTACTTAGTATTCATAATATTTGCATACTAAAGGGTGACTAGTTTTTTTAAATAGATTGTTCAAGGTTCAAATAAAAAGCGTTGATTATTAATGCCAGACAAATTCGGAATGACACTGTAAATTCACATTAATATCGTTGGACTCTAGTCGTGGTATATCAATAATTGACTGTCTATGCATACACTAGTAAAACTTTGGATACCAATTAAGTTTATCGCACTAACAGAAGATCTTGAGTTCTGTTTCATATGATTCCGATCGAATGTATTGTCAATAAGTCTTGAACTAACTTGATTCATTTGCCAATTACCCGGTATGAGGCACACTTTAAGTTTGAAAGCTAATAAAACCTCCTGGTGTCCCGAACCGAAACAAGTAGACAGAAGTTCGAACCTGGGACTTAGTGACCAAACGTCGAACGCCTTGGATACTAAGCCATCATCGTTCTTGAGCTATAATGAAATCTATATTCAGTGTTCTGGTAATGTTCATTAGCCTAACTAATATCGGTTCATGATTCAAACTTGCATGTTTGTTCGTTAACTGTGGTCAATTTTCAAAGGTGATGTTATATTCATACTTGTATTGATAATCATTTTCCCTTACGTATATTTAATCAATATAATTAATTATTGCATCTTACTTCCACTTAATTTTATTACTTAAATTGTAGGTTCAGATAAACAGTTGAATTTATTTCATTTACTCACGGGTGAATCAATTGCTACATTATACGGTCATTCAGAATTGTGTTTAGGCTTAAAATTTCTACCTAATCTACGTTATTTAATATCGGTTAGCGCTGATAGTTGTATATTTGTTTGGCGTTTATCAACAAATTTAGCACAATATTTACATGAACGTATCACTACATCAAGTATGTTGAAAAATATATTAGGCAATTCGATTAGTTATCCTCAATTAGACGGAATTCCATTAGAAATAACAAATGCAAGACTAAAAACTGGTAGAGAAGATAATAATGATTTGTTTAATATTAATCGTTCTGATTATTATCATATTCGTAATGATGATAATGATAATATTGATGTTGATACAAATCGAAATATAACATCTCGAAAATATACTAATAAACACAGCAACAGTAATAATAATAGTGATGATGTTCTAAATGATTTTAACAGTATGTTATACAACAGTGAAATGAATGAATATGAGAATGATGTTGACGATGATAATGATCTCGATAACTATGGTGATGATGATGATGACGATGTAACATCATTTAGTCAAACAATGCCTCCATCTGAATGGAATGAATCACTTGCAGAATATGATAAAATTGAAAACTTGGATAATGATGATGAGAATGCCGATGATGATATTGGTGGTGGTAATGCTGACGATGATGATAATCATGGTGAAGATAGTGAATTTGATGCGTTTCCTTTAGATGATGTATTATCAGTTAATGTTACAAATCCTATTACTATCCAAATGAATCATTTGATGAATAAGCATATTGTAACGAAACATAAATCTATTGTCGAGTAAGTAATTTGTCATTAATTTCTTTGACTATTATTTTGAATCGCTTTTATTGTATTCTTTTTCTTCTAGAATAAAGTACTTTTTGATCGGATCAGTACTAAAAAGCCGTCAAATTACTAGTTTTGTGATCGAAAAGTAACTTGACGGACTGATATCGTATCTTGTTTTAGCAGCTTCAGATTTTTATCAGTTGATTCCTCTCCTAATCCCAATATGCGTAACAACTAGTCAACTCACTCGTTCCCTGTGTAACTGACATACTATCTCTATTCAACACTCTAAGCTTAACTTCTGCGGTAATCAATTTATAATCGTACTGTTTCCTTCAACGGTGTTCAAAAGATACTTATATTGGTTTACTGGTTAGACACTCAATTTTTAACTATTAGGTTACAATTTTCCAGTCTCATTCCAACTAATTCAGTTTAGGCAACAAAGAGAGAAAGTATCACTAGGACTCACACAAAAAGAATGTAGATCAAAGCGGATTACATATATTAATAGTGACTAATTGATTTAATTTTAAACTAGTCAACAACGTTAATTTATAAGTTTTAAGAATTAAAGAAAATCACTCTTTTATTATCAAGTATATAATAAAAAGTAAACAGACTTGAATCATATTTTTTCTCTTTGCACAATATTTAACCAGCAGTTTTTTTTCTAAAGTTCATCTTGTGAATCTAACAAGAAAGTTTAAACCACTGAAATAAATATGACTTCCTGCCACAATAGACTGAAGGTTCTAATCTAGTACCTCCCACTTTGTTTATCAATGATGCTTCCTAAGCATGTAAAGCTCTTCACTTCTCTCAGGACTTCTTCACCAAGTTTGATTTAGTCGGTACTTTTTGTGTTGTATTTTACGATTTTGCTTCTTCTATTTTAGTTCGTTAAAATATTTCATTTTTTCGTTTTCTTTTTCTCACATTTTTGCAGTGAGAACAATTCAACTAATTGGTGTAGCAATAATAATAAAAATATTTTGTCTGCCAATCACTTGATTAAATCTCAAGTTTCCGCTGCCAATGCTATTAATTGTAATAGTAGTAATAGTAGTACAGCTGCAAATTCTGTCAATCAAAATAATAATGGCAGTAATAGTAGTAATCGTAGTGGAGGAAAGAAACCGGAATTCTATTTTAGTGTCAGCGCACTTCCAGCTTGGGCACGCAGAAAGGTAATATAAATAGTGTTTACGATGATATTTTTTTCGAATTATTATTAATATTTATCATCTAGGTACTGAGGTTGTATGAATATACTTTTAAAGATTATGTGGGTTTTAGCAAAATAATCTAGATGAACACTCTATGTACCATGTTATGAAAACAATTGATCTCGAATTTGAGTTTTTCAACCCTCTATATCCGTTACTCTGATGCAATCGCTGGATATTAGCTTCCACTCTCTCAGCCTAATGGAAACAGACTGTAAAAAGCTGTGAACTTACAACTATATAAGAGCACCTGAGGTGGAATGGGGAACTTATTGTAAACATGGATTCTGATTTTTTCTCCCAAAATTTCTCCGAAATATAATGACAGAAGCAGCAAACGATATACCATACCTGAATACATAAAGCTGAAACCCCCATATGGAGTCGTGATTGATCACACCTGAAAGGTCCAAAACTAGGATAAAATATTTGTCGGATACTGTTTAATTTTTAACCATTTTCTCAGTAGGTGTCAATTTACTTTGAAAACTAACTTCTAATTGGTCATTCCAAGTCATTAGAAATTACCATATTATAACCCAGCGAGTTTAAAAATCTCCTTCTAGTAATAGCCACTAATCAGTTTTTCTAACAGTTTTTTTCAATTTATTCTTGAAACTGATATTGTGATTAGATTAAATTTAGAAACTATCATTCTGTTGTAACTACTTTAATGTTTTAAGTTCATATAAAATACATCATATGTGTGTGTGATTGCAAGCATTTACTTTTTATATACACGTGTAATCAGTATTATTGTTGCTATTCTAAATGTGAACAGTGGATTTGTCTTCGATTAAAACGTCATCTCAACATGAGATTAGAAACCCTAGTTAGCTTTTAGCGAGTAATCCGTTTGCTAACTAAACGACCAGTTTACTGCCTAAGTTTTCTCTCCGTTCTACTTTATGGCTGTGGAATATGGTCTTTAGAAATAGATATTCGTAGATTGATAGTACCCTATCGTAGGTGTTTTCGAGGCACTGCTCGTATACTTTTGGGCCATTGAGTTAGCAATTCTGGGGTTAGACACATATTATTATGTAACTATAGCAATCCAATTGACGAGATAGTGAATATTTGTCGAATAAAATGATAAAGACATATAATACGTATACTCATCCATCGAATGCCTCAGAGTGCGATGATGGTTGGTGTAGAATTAGGTTAGAAGAAAATAGGGGTAACCAAACCAAGGCACTAGTCGATGGAGACATTGACCGTGTTGGTAAGTGGACACTACCTGTTTGAAGTATGCGTGATTATCGTACTTAATGGTTAGAGAATTTGAATGATACGGCAGTTTCATCCTATTATGGGACTATTCAGCAGTTCGCATCCGTGACCCAAACTTAGTACCTTCAGTTTGGCGAGCGAACGCTTAACCTCTAGACCATTGAGCCGGGATCCGACAATGCTAGTGTTAAACTGTGATCAGTTTATTTAGTTGTTGAACTCATTTACTTAGTATATATATATATATATATATATATCGGCCTTTCATATTTTAATCTATTACCGTTTAACTTTTATCAATTCATTCAATGTATATATCTTTAGCTGAGTCGTCGTGAATCAGTGACCATTGTCCCAACCTCTTTGACACAGGTGATAAACATATCTTCATGTTTCTTTTGCTTTGTGTTGTTCATTTCCGTCATGTAACATTTTAGCATTCTTCTTCTTTTGCATATGGGTGTATGCAACCAAACCCAGATCATTGTTACACATATTTAGATTGTTTATTTTTAATTTTGTAAGTAACTGAATGATATGACCCATGTTACATAGAAGCGTATAGTTTGTTGTTTTTCTGTATGGTCTCTGTTCTCATTTCTTTAGTTTCTGGTAATTTAGCTGCATAATAATAATAATAATAATAATAATAATACACTATATTAATCATGCTTACGATTAAATGCTGCATGTACGTTTACAAACCACCTCCTATTATCATCTTATTATTATTGTTGTTAAAAATCAAATAATTATCTTTTCTTTATAAAGTTCATTATGATTAGCAAATTATAAAATCTTCACTTGTTACCATGGTTTCCTTCTATCCTTTTTAGTATTCATCTACACATTACATTCAGCATGAAAATCTCTGTTTTGCAAAATGTCTTTTTCATTTTGTATTCGTTATTGATGATTATTGAAATGTCATTGTTATCATTATTTGTATTCATATAATCATTGGTCATCCATTTCACCTCATTTTCAGCACAGATCATAACAAAGTGTAAATATATTGCTTGGTTAAGCAATATATTACTAACCCATAGTTTTGACAGTTACCAATTAATTACGGGTTAATTTTATAATCATGTACATCAATTTGTAGATTAACTTGATTACAACTCACACATATGACAAAATTTTTTGTAGTTATTATTCTTTTTCCTAGATCTTTGTTGATTTAATTTTAAACATTTCTCTCTCTCAAATTTGGTCTGTCTGTATAGTAGCTTCCTTTTATTATTTAGGTTTTGAATAGTGAACTTGATGTGAATGGATCGGATTCAGCTAGTCAAACCTCTGTAGTAAGTGGTCCAATATTGCCTGTATCGACTAGTGGTTCCTGTTCCCATGAAACAATACCTAACTATGTTTATCCATTGTCATCATCAGTCACAGCAACAAAGAAAAGATCAAAATATACTCGTGTTCGCGGCAAAACATCAACTGAAGACATTTGTGAAAAAGTTAGTCAGTTTAATAATGTTATTATTTCACTACATAATTATTTTTAGTAAATTTTTTTCATAATGAAAATCAATAAACAGTGCATTTCCACTAAATTTTGTTATTCTTGGTAACAGGGATTGGATAGAGTAGGTAATATGTTCTTTTTGATTTTCTATACTGAAGTTTAACTTGTCCTAGGAATTCCTGAACCGTATATAAATTTAGATTGTAGGTTTGTAGCTGGGTGAACATTCAAAGCCTAGTACTAGAGCATGAGGCATTATGATACAATCCGGTTGCCCAAACCGAAGGATTTGGAGCGGGGTTTGAACGTGGGACTTAGTGGTTTAAAGTCGTACACCTGAATCATTAGGCCACCCCTTTACGGAGCCTTGTAAGGAGATATTTTGTGCTTGTAAAAATAGTTTGTTACTCGGTAACATCATTTTAACAAATAGTTTTATTGAAAGTACTGGCTAACAAATCTCTTTTACTGTGGTACTACCGCTATTTCATTCGACTGAGTGCCTCAACAAACAACAATTCAGGCTCACACTGCTCTGTATTATTCTCTACTCCAGTTCGCCTAAAAATTAAAATGATGAATTAACACAGGAAAATATGTGTTGTCGTTACATCTGATGACATAAGAGAAAATTTGTTGATATTTTTTTAGCATGACTTTGAAAATCATCTACTAAGAATAAAGTAACTAGAAAGCCAAATTAAAGTTTTCGCATGTGATATACAAATTCCAAAATGACTTATTTGACAGTTAATTTTTACCAGGTGATTTTGGATTGTCAAGAAATAAATCCTTTATTTGCTAAGAAGTTTCAAATTCTTTGTTATTCACTATTAAAAATCATAATTACGATCCAGTATAGTTTGTATTCTTGGAGTACATACAGTCGATTATAATAAACAGAGAAATGTTTATTTGATCAACAACTGTCCTGATTTGAAAGTAACTTGTTTCCCTCGTGAAATTGAATATTTTTCAAAGTGGTTATTAACATGATAAATTTTAAATATTTGTATCATTTGATGCTATGACTTCGAATTACATGTTTCCAACAGAGTTTAATGGTCGCTAGCATCGGAATCTACGACTTGCGTCTCGTCCTGCTTGGAGCCCGTCAGGTGAATATGTTTGCACCTAGTGATAATATTCACAGCGAGACTTGGACTCGGTACTATTGACTCCAATCGCCTATCTCGTTATCTACTTAGTTACTGAGTCTAGATAGCCAATAGCTTGTGCAACAGACATGAATTTCTAACTCATTTCCGAGAATTTTTTTCCTGTTGTTGATATTAAGGATTGTAATTGATCAGTCTTTTTCAGCATATATGCAATCTTAACGGATTGCTTTGATACTATCGGTAAGTCGAAGTGATTTTTAAGCAGAGCTCTTTAGTAGCTGGGATTAATATATAGTACACGCATATGCCAATAGAGAATAATATATTCCAATTCGTAACACCAACAGCTCATACAAGTAAATCAAAAACTGATGCATTTTGTTGTGAATTACTTTTACCACCATGTATACTTGTTTGATTAAATTATTAAGAACTGTTTGATTATTTGAAAAATTTTATCATACATAAAAATGTAGTGAAAAATCATAATATATTTGCAATGACCTAATGAGTAAAAAAGTGAATTTCTCACGTTTTGTGACTTAGTGTAGGTCACTTCTTCATAGAACAAATAAATAGTCGAATTGAATTAACACTAAAAAAATACATAGTACAACCAAAATAAGCTTAATCAGGTCGCTTCAACACAAAATTTTGTCTATATTAGATTGTGTCGATTGTGACACCTTTATTAGAGAGTTATCTTATGAAACTTTGACTTGAACCAAGGAACATCTACACTACACAAAAAAGACCTAATAATCGTATAGAACTTTAGAAGCTCCAAATAAACAGTCAATAGTGGTACATATTTTTCTTTAATAATCAATAAATTGGTATGTAAAATATCAAAAGATTTTTCCTACTATAAAGAAAGTCGAGTCGTTGAAGCTTTTCGTTTATTGCTAAACTCTACTGAGCTCAATAGAAAATAAAAAACTTGGACTATTTATCCAAACAGCTATATTTACTTCTATTCACACCTCATACCGTTACACAAACATACAAATTTAACCCTAATTCTTGACATTACAAATACCGCATTTTTCACACCCACTAACATACAAGTACACAAGCACGTCTTACATAGGATCACCTTGACCGAGTAACATGGAATTGAGTTGATCAGGTTTATTGTGATTGTACTACTTATTTTGCTTTGTTCTTTTGTACTATTTAAACTTGTGTTAGTCTAATTCGATTATTTATTTATTCTCTGAAGAAACGACTTACACTGAGCTATAAAGCATTTAAAATTCACTTTACAACTCATTAGAATTTTACAAATATAACACAATATTTCATTGATATCCAATTCAGTGATTTGAACTGGTCAAGTCAAACATTGGTATTGATATTCACACAATATTATTTATTTTAATATATATATATATATTCAACAATCATATCAAACATATTTGGGATTAAAATATCATCTGAATTGTCAATGATGATTAATTTGTATTTCTCAATATTCTAAGTAACTGTTTCAGATGATTAGGAAATTTCATGAAATAATGTTGATGATGACAGTTTGTAGTTTAAATGGATACCTTTAATGATTTTGTGTTACTTTATGCTGAATGATTTAAATTTTTGTTCTAAATAATGTTATTAATAAGTAGTATATAAAGTAACAGTGAGTTTATGGATTAATTTTTTGAAATTAGGTTTGCCAACTTAGTGATTGTAACACAGAATCATTATATTATGGTTAACATCTATTAGACAATAATCAGTGTATTTCCTTTACTCTTATATTATTATCGTAAATGTTATGTTTCAATTTTATTTTCTCAAGAAAATTTTTCTATTTTTATGTACATTTTCTTTTACTAAAAGGATATATTAACACCAGTGTCTAGTACTACCACTACTACTGTTGTATCATTATCTGTTTCCCAATCGACAATCTCAACCAATAACCATAATCATACACTTCATTCACAAATGTCTCGATCAGAATACAACACTAGAGAATATTTTAATTTTAATCAGAATGATGAAATCAATTCTAACGAACAAATAATTCATGAAAGAAAAAACAATTGGTTTACACGTGCTGTTTCTGCTCCGGATACACCTCGTTCTTGGAAAAAAGATGTTTATAGCGTAGATAATAAACGAAATATGATAACAACAACACCAGTGACATCAGGAACAACGACTACTACAACTATAAGAACACGGAAGATGATTGACAGTTCTGTAAAAAAACTTTATCCTACTCAAAAGACTGTGGAAACATCTTTCATCAGTCGAGTCGCTGCTCAAAACAGACCTAAGGATTTGGTTAGTTCTTAAACGAATATTTGATTTTACGTGTAGTGATGTAGGATTGTTTTGTATATAATTGATGTTTTCACTACTTATATAAAGTAGGTACTAAAAATAACAGTAAAACTACATAAGAACTGGATCCCCGGCACATGATCTATAATCAAACGTGGCTCATTTACTCAAAATAAAGATCACTAATTATTAGCGATATTTTTGTTTTCAGAAATGTCGAACTTAATTTGTAAGTGATAATAATGACAGTCTAAACTTTAAAGTCTCTCTCATTCTTTTTCAATTCAATTAGTGAATTGTAATTCTAAAAAATAAACATAGGAAACATGCATCGATTTTATTTTATCATAGAAATATTCGATTCTATTCTTATTTATATAGTATTATGTAACAGTCTAAAGGTTAACGAAGTCACTGTTCACACATTAATAAATCATTGGTTCCGCCTAGTAAATATTTTTATAAAAATGGAAGCAATATTAAAACAAGTATTGGCAACAGCCATTCACATTCATTGTCAACAAAACCGGCTGTTAGTCATCTATGGTTAAATTCTAATAGATTACTTCCTTTTGCTTATGATGTTGTCTAGGAGGATAAACAATGCTGTACAGTTAAACCGCTCAACTCAAATAATACATCTTCATTAAGATCATCCTCCCAAGCTACTAATTTTCCCCACTATCTTAAGGATAACCTTTTTTCACGAAAACATTTCTTAACTGTTTCTTACTCTTGTTTGGTTACTTCTGTCGAGCATTGTTTTTTTAAGTATGATGAGGTGATCTCACCATATCAATATTTATTATTAATTGAAAAACTCTGTGAAAACTAAAGTTTTATTGTATTCTGTATGTAAATTCTGTATAAGGCATGATAAAAACTTCAGGAACAAGCGCTTGATGTTTAATGTTGTCAATTTTCACATATTATACTTCGACTAACGTTGTCAAAATCACTTGCGCTCATATAGAAAGTGTAGCTTCAAGCTGACGACATAAATCTCTACCTGATCATTAGATTGTAATTTCTCAGAGGGTTGTTTACTCTATTTCATATTAAAACAGTTTTATCAAACAATTTAAATCATGTTCATATCGATTAGATCAATTGTAAAGTATTCAAAAATAGGCTAACTTTTTTCTTTCAATATCTCTCTTTTTCATCTCTATTCAGGCTTTAGAACAATTCACACCACCAACACATACCTATGAAGTTTGTGCTAGTCGATTAATAATGAATGAGTCGATTACTGGTGGAGATTGTCCGAACGCATTGCCATTATTTAACAGACCTAAAAATAAATCATCTCAACAACGATCTTATTCGGCCACGCAACTAATTCCTTCAAGGTATGAGATTATGTTGTTTTTTTATCAAGTAAGAATATTCTCAAAAAAAGTTAATACTTAGGTTCACCATTCATAAGTACATTGATTCAGCTTCAATTTGTTCGATTTTATCAAACAGAAACTACAAAATCACAGCCAATAACAAACGGGAATATTTGTCAAAATTGATAGAGGATGAGTAAAACATATCTGTCAATATAACCATTTACACTCATTCTCATTAGAATGTATTCTACTAACATTGATAGTTAAATCAAATCAGCAGAAAGTATTGGTTATTCTGTGTTTTATTTTCGTTAGCGTTCAGTCTATTAGATTCTTGTAGAACCTCCGAAAAATCTGTTTCATCTACAGACAAATGCACTTAGCTCAATTGTAGTCAGTGACGTTGTTATCGATATAACTCATTTATGATTGACTCCTTGTACTGTTGAATCGAGTTTACACTTAAGTAATTTACGAATAATCAATGTTTGAACGAAACAGTATAGGGCAATGTCCTATGGTTGACTAACTTAACCGATACTATACTAGTTTCAGTTAAAAATGAAGTGTAATCGAACCAGTGGTAAAAAGAATGAGGTACATGCTACAGAATCACTGCGATTTATCCTTGAACAGCACTAGATATATGAAATTTACACTTTTTTGGAGCTTTATTCACACAGGTTTATGTTTGATACAGACGATTGTGAATGTTCTTTCTTAAATTTCTAATTTATTGATTAAAGTAGTTTTCCATTTGTTCTTCATATTTTATGTAATATTTTTTTCAAGAATTGATTACTTTTGTACACTCTGAATTCATCTTGTTCAACAACAAATGGGAATAAGTAAGATATCTTGACTGGTCTGAATCTTCTTACTGATATAACCGAATGACTTGTTTTGATAATAAAGAATGGATTGATTAGCACAACAAGTCTGAACTGCATAAATATTAGAAAATTACATCTGGTCTGTGATCGAGATTAGTTATTTAGGTAAAGTTCTATGTATATTTTTAACTAACCTAAATTATAACGATGAATCTCGTCAAATGATTTATGCTGATTTATCCAATAGCATCATAAATTACCCAGTAGGATTATTCAGACCACGTAGTAGCATCAATCAAATTTTACTTGAATACATCTATTACATGTAGACAACTGACAGCTAAATACAAACCTTTACTGACTTATGATACTTCTCACTGTTGTTATTTCTAATTATCCAGAATTTTATTATTTTTATATTTGAACAAACTAAAGTTTCTTTAAATATTTGGACTTAACTACCTCTAATTTGTTTTATTGAGTGAACAACTCAGTTTCCAACTTTTCTTGTTTAGAAACATTACTTTTAGTTCTCTTCTTGTATTCACACAGTTTTGTTCTTTTTCCACAGTACATCCGTCGATCGTTTCCTTTTCATTACATCTTCTCTCTTATTCATTTTATTTTTCTGCTACTGTGTTTCATAATATTTAACACCACCTTTTACTAAGCGGTAATAACCTTTTTTTAGTCTAATTAGGTTTAATTGCTTTAAATGTCATACAGTGCATGGATATCTTGCTACAATGACCAGTGTTTCGTGTCTATATATATAGAAAGCAATAGTTTTTTTACATTTATAATCCTATGATACTAATCATCTGAACTATATTACAATCAGTTATAATTGAAGGCTTTTCTAATCCACTAATGCATAATCATAGCGATGCGTAAATATTGCAAGTTAATGTTATACAACAAAGAGATGTAGAAGATCTGTGGTTTTTATTTTGATCTTTACCTACATTCTTGATTATTCAGTGTTTATTAATATAAATCATCATTGAATATCCCGACGCATCTATTTCAAGTATTTGATTCACTCGAATTATGTACCTGATGAATAAAGAATATTGGAAAACTCGAGAATACTGTCCAGCTTATCAGAGTACTTGGCAGTCTTTTCGTCTTTTAGAATTCTGCAGCATTGTTTTACATAGTATCAAGCTTTCAATGACTTGAATAGCCATAGCCGTCAGTCGTACTTTTTATTTAGTAAATAAACATATTAGGTTTTCGCTGTTGTTACCCAGTTTTCCGGGACATTTATTAATGAAATTATTGGTAATTTATATTATTTCATCATTTGCAGTCATGTACTTCGTGTATATATATGGTGGGGGTTAGTGAGTACAATTTTGATTTAATTCAAGTTTATTCGGTCAGTTTATTGTTGACTGATTCATTACTGTTGTTAATTTAATTAATTTGCTTTTCACTTGTGAAAATCGGTCTCTTTGAAGTAAAAGATGTTTGATGATGGTTTTCTGCTTTCAGTCATCTTTTTCTTTAAAGGATTATTCAAGTTCGGTGACAACATTGCGTTTTCTAAACAGTAGATATTTATCTGTTCATAATTTATAGTTCCGTTTATTGATCAAAGTTTTCATTTTCCAATCAGTTTAAATGTACATATTAATATCTTATCTTCACAAACCACATCATTTGTCAGTTTAACTTTTCTAAGTTATTTCAAGTTTACTAGAAAGAAATAAAAGAGGCTTTCTGTCTACATCTTAAACTTTTTTTGTGAGTAGATTGTATAATTCTGGTGTGTGCTACTTATACGGACAGACATAAGTATTATATACCAGGAATCGGAAGTAAGATTCTTATGGACAGAAGAGTAAAATGAAAAGAGGAAGAAGAACAAAAAGCAATCAAAATGTCAACAGGAATGAGAAAACAATGGAGTTTTTACGACACACTTTAAGGAAGATGAGTAAATGGTGTATTCACTGTGTTGTTCCCATATTTTAAAAATACAGTGTAGGATTTTTCATAATACAGTAAATTGGTCTGCTCCAACCACGTCTTCGTTCATTACATAGCCATTTGGAAGTTAGGAATACGGATACTTTCAAAAGTGAATTCCTTGATGTATTGATGCTAGTTGAATAGTTGTCATTGAAACTTACGGAGTATCGAAATACTATTGTTCCTTCATCTATTCACCACTTCCATTTTCACATATTTACGAATGACATAAAAAATTATCAAATTAAAGAAAAATTGATTAAGTTTCAATATCTGAACTGATTCGATTTTTAATTGCCAAATGATAGTCACTTTCCCATTATATTGAATCAAATAATGCCTGTAAATATAACTCAAGATTTCAATTTTTCTTATCCTATATTATCCAAATATCTTGTAGAAATAAAGTCAAACTTCAAGAACGACGTCATGTTCGATCTCGTGCCAGTTGGTTTCCTGTTAGGTATATTCTGATACTGATTGTTGGAATATGTGTTTGTGTGTTCATGCAGTAACCGCACATACATACATTAATATTACCAGTTTAACTAACCTTATTTTATTGTTATTATCAATGGATTGGTTCACTATATTTTGGTTTATTTATAATTGATTTTACTACTAATAATAATGGGGAGTGATTTGTCAGTTGTGTATCCATCAATTTATAATTTATCTTTTTTAACTCGTAACCATCGAAATATTAAAATAACTCTATCTTGTAGTTCCAGAATGCCATTAGATGTTTTATCTTTGTGCTTCTGAATTATTATGTTTTTTTTTCCTGAATTATTCAATACACAGTATAAATTTAGAATATGAGATGACATCAGTCCATAGAGTCACTAATAGTTAGGCTGATTCGTGTTGGTTCGTTTGCACGATTATCGTAACCAATGGTTGGAAATGTTAAGTGACATGGTCCATAATAGATTGCATTGGCGCACACACATTCACTCTGTCTTGCTTTAAATATTGAATTTTAAGACTATTCTATTCGTTTTATCCCATAATTTCGTTCCAAATTAAATTGTCTGTATCTAGTCGTTCCTATTACTGGTGATACTCTTCCTATTTTTACTAATCTAGGACTTATTTCGAAATAATAAAAAACAATTTGCAAAAAGGATGTTTGTCACTAAACACATTAATTGGTCACAAGACTTTCCTTATCAGATCCATGGAAAGTATCCTCACAGAGTGTAGGCAATCGAGAAGAGAACCGCATACACACATACCAAAAAGCGTTCAAGTTCATCTTGTCCTCCACTCCATCTTTGGATCCTGGTTTCAGACTCTTGTGGGACCATTTGTGCATGTTATTGAGGCGTTTAAAATTAGGGTTAACTATTTACGTAGTATTCCTCGACTTTTTTATCTGATGTTACTTCATAAAGAAATCCATTTTGAAACTTAACATAAATTCCACAAATCAACCCAGCTACCTGAATACAATTAGAGAGTGAATAAAAATTTTTTGATAGTTAACAATTTTATCGTATGTGTATCAGCTCCATTCAAACTGTACTATTGAAAACGTAAATATGATTTTGTTACAGAATAGTTGTTTATCTATAACTAATTATTTTATTGAATTATTCACTCATACTTATGTATCAAATAATGACTTAAAAAAGCGAGCGATATATTTTTATAGTTTGTCTACTTTTTTCGTAATAATGGTGATAGAGGAAGACTGTTGATTTGTTATAACAATAAACGTTTGTTTGATAAATAAGAATCTTTATGATAACTCACATTTTTCTGTTGTTTGACTAAATTAAGTCAACTGTGATTTTATCATTTATCGAAATTGACACTCAGTTAATAATGAACGATATCCTATTTCTTATTCCTATCATTCTGAGTTACATAACTTAATCATTTCTCTTTTGCGTTCTCTCTCTTCTTATTATTATTCGTATACTACTATACTTCTAACCAATCTACCTTCATTTTTATTTTCAGTGATGTGTCAATAAATGGAATTCATTAATTAACCATTGTCTCAATGTTTTAATTTATTTTTTTATTGTGATTTTTTCTGTTTTCATCTCTATAAGCTTAGTTTTTTTTAAAATTAGTTGTTTTAGTTATTTATACTGAAAAATTAACAAATAAAGAGAGGTTAATATCTTTCAAACTTTTCTTACTTCATTTCTCTTTCCTTTTTTTCACTTCGAAAACTTTTCTGTTCATTTTTCACTTGTTTTTTTTTTTCATTTTTATTATAAAGATTGAGTCAAATACATCACATAGTTTCCTATCTTTTGTCTAAATATAAATATTGTCCACATTTTTCCTCCCTAAATTACAGTTCTCCTAAACAACACAATCCTCCTCCTTCTACAATTGTTGATGATTCTGTCAATCTATATTCAACAAATAGTTTACATCATTTTCTTGATGATACAAATACAATTCATGCTTTGAATTACAATTATGGTGATCGTTGCCAACAGCGTAATCAGTCGAAGGATTTGCGTGCATCTGTAGGTTTTGTGTTACTTTTATTATTATTATTATTATTATTATTATTATTATTATTATTATTATTATTATTATTATTATGAACAAAGATTAGTGAATTTTGGTTAGTTATGTCCCCTATCTGTTTTGTTAAATGATGAGCTGAATACTGTTAGTGATTATCAAAATGATTTATTTGGATATGATTATGTAATAACTACTGGTCACATGGCCGACATTTCATTGAATATACTAACAGTCTAAACATTTTGAACAGTTCATTGTAGAATAATTAGTGTTTTAATCTATTTGTGATGTATAGAGGTGTAAAACGAAATAAATGTGATTAAATATTACGTATGGCTATACAATACAAATATTAAATCTTCGACAGTTAAATCAATTATTTCGAACCATTTTTCATGTTTTGTTTTGGTTCAAGGAATCATGTATTTCATATGTAGCTGTCTTAGTAAGCATGAGGTTAAACTAAGCACGCGCATACTTGTATTTGGTTATTGTATTTTTTTTTATTTTTAATATTCCACTCTAGTTTTTACCGTTTAATTTCAAACAATGAAATATTGAAAAGTAGCATACATCTTATATTTGTGTGTTTTATATATTCAACTACTAAATAACGACGATATTTGAGAAAAGGTGTGTATACAATGTCGCTAGACCAAAATGGATGGTTATATATACGGTTTTTTACTAGGACTTAACAAAATTATATATTTATATTTGTGATACTTATTTTGTATATAATGAAAAATAAATTTTTTCAACATTTCTAGTTCCTCTGGTTTTTTTTCTTTTTTTCAATATTCTTCACTAACTTAGGTGGATATAACTTCAAAGGCTTTATTGATGTCATCAATATCATCATCAAATTATCATGGCAAGTTTTTTTTATTTTGAGCAGTTAAATAAATAATAAACACTGATTTGATGTGTAGGTGTATGCAAATGAATAGATGTTGCGCATGCTTTTTTAATTGGTATATTAAATCCAAACACAAACGCCATCTTAAAACCGATTAGTCAAATTCTAAAATTATACAATATTAAATTCTGCAACACTTATTATACATTTATAAGTATAGGGTCGTGGAAATTAATGAGTTTCATTAAAGTCATGAAACGACCTAAGTTAGACCACCCTTGAAAACCTGGCTGCACAGAATGGTTGTTTCATCTCAGTATGGAATTACTTGGCAATGGACATCCACGATTCTCCACACAATAATCGAATCCAGTACCTCCTGTTTCGTGCGCGAACACCTTACTGCTAGACCATTGAACCGGAATCCGACGATGTTAATATCTAATATCAATCAATCCAAGATATTGCGCAAACATTTATAGTTTTGGCAATTATTACTTACTTATGCCTATTACCCTCGTGGAGGAGCACAAACCATCCACCAGCATTCTCCATCCAACGACAGTATCACTTCTCTTTCAGACCTGACGTCTACTGTGTTTTGTTTAATCGTTTTCCAAAAGACCTGCCTAACTTGATAGACACATGTATTTCAACCAACATGGCTCGATTGAGTTATCACGATATTATTATTATCATCAGCTTTATTCGATATTATATTTTTGGTACAATATAGAATTCTCAGCTTAAAGTATTTCAACAAGTTTCCGTTTCTTTCTTCTTGGTCGGTCCTGGCGATAAATATTGAGTGATCGCCGGTTAGATGTTAGCAGTTCAGTAAATGAAAATCTGAATGATGTACGTTCTTTTCTCTGTATATTGCCAGCAACCGCATTGTCTCTTATTGAGCTTTTTGTAACTTTGACAATGAAAGGTTGCACACTTTTCAGAAACGCAGCAGAATAGGTCATGCGATTAATAAACATAATGATATATTAAAACAAACGAAAATAGATAACTTGTTGAAATATCTAGATGGCAGGAACAGGTAGCCCAGATGCTCAAGCAGACCGCCCTATGCAATCCTGACAACCACATCAAGAAAGCAACTGCAATTGGTTATATGTATAATGTTGTATATTATTACAATATACAGTATACTGATATTTATTGTTTAGCTATGCTACACGCATACACATTTTATAGATAACTTCCTTAAAAAGGTAGTTCGGTTGTCCCTAATCTCAATTAGCTTTTTGCTATGCGTATTGATTTTTGTTTGCAAAAAAATCTCTTTTCAATAACTCAAATCGGCACACGTTTTAATCTGGTATATGGACACATTTGAATGTATACTACATTCTATTTTGTCCCTTCGTTCTTGATAAATAGCATTGATCATTTGATGTTTCGATTTTGGTTCTCAATTGTCATTGTAGATACTAGGTCACTTCATTAATGAATGTGATATTACGGTTAAATAAACTATTTTTGTGCATTTTTTCGTGTTTCTGACAGACGAGTTTATGCAATAAAAATTTAACTAGAACTGTACTTTGTGCTCTTGTTTATATAATAACAAAATATTTTTCAGTCATGTTGCACAAATGTATGTAGTCTGATGGTATTAATCTGGATTGAACGTGGCACTCCTGCTTTTCCTACTTCGGTTCTTACTGTTGGCTAGTATCATCAGGGTTCACACATGTTCGTAACTCAAACCAGAGTATCTCATTAATAAATATAATTGTCTTCTTTCTGTGATAGTATGCCCCATTATTTCATTCCGTCTGTTTTTCTTCGTGTATTGCTTCATATTACTTATTACAGGCAATAAGTAGTTAGATTTATGTTCAATCATTTCTGCACTTGTAGGGCGTTCTCTTTTTCAAAAAGTCTTTCCCATTGTCCCACTATTGCTCTGTGTTAGTCCATTTTCCTATATATTATTTCTTTGTATCTCCATTCTCGTTCAATTTTGTTATACAGAAAACTCTTAGTTAATCTCAAATATTTTCATAAATTTCTATTACGGTCTGATTTGGTCAACTACCATATCATTCAAGAAAGGAGCACTGAGTGGTCTGTTTTGAAATCTTAATTATTTCTTCAATTACTGATGATTACATGTGATTTAGCTATGTATTTTCTCCTAATTCACTGAATGTTTCCTACTTTTGCTTTTTGTTCACTTAAATCAAGTACACATTTTCATTTTAGTGATGAAACGTTTTTTTAGCACTTTAACGGACAACTTAAAATATGTAGACTCTTATATTCGTTTCAGTTTCTGTGACGGCATTATTTATTTGAGTAATTTTCAATTTTTCACTTTTGGAACATTCACTCGTAACCTATTTGTTGCATAATGACAACGTAGTTCAATAGAGTAAGGAATTTTCTTCACCGATTGTCCAATATTGCAACAAATTCCATAAATTGATATTGTAATTATTCGAAAATATTTTTTCATAGAATTTTTTAAATATTCAATATCTACTTACTACTTACAATCACCAGAATTTTCTATCAGTTTGGTTGCTACAACTATTTTTCCGTCTTTCATATATAAGATGTATGAATCTCGTAGTTTCGTTTTTTCTAAAGATAGGCAATTTTAGTGTTTACGTTTGATTTTTCTGGTTTTTAGCATCACAGACCTTTTAAGATAAAACATGTCTACATCCAGTTAACATCCATAACTATTGAGTTCAAATAAATTTAAAACATGGATTAGTTTTAATATTTGTACCATTAAAAAAATAGAAGCATTTACCCACAGAAGACAATGGAAGATGGCCACACAAAGATCGATTTAATTTGGAAATCAACACCATTGTATCCCGACTCACTGGTCTACAGCTTAAGTGTTTGCATGCTAGACCGCGTTCCAGATCGCGGATACCCTCTTCTAGAAAGTCCCACACTAGGACGAAACGGTCGTCCAGTGCTTCCAGGCTTTCACTGATCGTCTAACATTGATCGGTTCACGATTGCAATAAAAAATTAGACGGCCCAAATATTTTAATCAGATCAACTTTGCACTATTTGTGTTTTTATATACATATATATATATATATATATATATATATATATATATATATATATATACCATTTGTAAGTTGAACGTCAAATAAATGTTAAACGACTCATTATTACTGCATTTTTGTCGTTCAGATTCAAAGAATCGTTTGCCTGCTGTCAAAAAATATTCTTCACAATACCTTACCACTATGCAAGAGACAAACTGTCGAACGAACAGTGAATCTGTGCCCAAGAGCTCAACACATACTCCAAACTCAACTTCGGTAAATCACAATGGGTTTTTTTCACAATGATAGGAATATAAGCAATAAAAATCATGCTCATACCAACTAATTTTTTGTAGTCAGTGGTTATGAAAATTTTAATAACTTCATCTATTTTTATTTATAATTAACAGTATAAGTTTAGGTAAAATCAAGACTGCAAATGCTTCATGTCAACTATTTCTTACTATTCTTTGCTCTATTTGATTTTTCGCTTTATACCATGTTGATTTCCCATATCTCATGATGACTTAGACTTATATATTTTTTCCGGTTTTTACATTATTTGCAACTGTTTGGACCATATGATGTAAGCTGATAAACATGAAAAATCATCGTAATTAGCATTTGCGTGTTGATCAGTATGAAAAACTAATTGCTGATCTGTCATCTCACAGTCGAATGTAGATGTCCATTCATCCCGCGTTTTATGTATCAACCTGAAAGTGATCAATATGATTTGATAATATTCTAAGCTACGGTTTTGTCATGTTTACTTATATATGTTCACTGTTCGAATCCCCTCTGTTTGAAACTAGTAAAAGCGATTAAAAGGTAACTTCCCTCATTCCATCACTGAGGAATTATATAAAATCACAGAGCACTGGATAGCTGTTTTGTTTTATACTACATTTCAATGGTGTCTCTTTTCAAATACATACATAGTCGAATATCAGGTCTTTTGGTCTCTTCAGTAGTGCAAATTAGGTAGTATGTTGTAATTTTCGTTATTCGGTTTTCTGAATTCAATTTACTTAGTTTTTAGTTTGCTAACTCATCCTCTATATGAAATTCGTTAACCTTTTTACTTGAAATAGAAAAATTATGTTGATCCATGATTTTAAGTAAGGAAAATGTATATACCACGTGAATTGGATTTCAAGTAATTATGTTCTTCTTCGTTTTTCGTTTCTTGCTCAATTCCTAAAAGTAATCTGTAGAGGATAAATTTCAGCATTCAATTAGTCTAAGTAAGTACAGTCTTTATCATAGTTGAAGGTGAACTAATGCCGATTAACTAGTCAATCTATCATAATCTACATGGAACCCGGCATATATATGCGTCCGCCTAAATTGACATATCTTATTAGCACGACAATATGAATAGGAAACAAATAGAAATAGTAATATATAAAAAATAATAATGGGAAAGGCTAAACATATGATTCGAAAAAGACAGAATGAAAAGGTACTTATATAGAAATACTGAAACTGGAGATCTAGAGAAATATAAACAGTCAATGCATCTGGGACATTGTGACTGATTCTAATTTGTGTCATTTGCCTTCACTAACCACTGATTGGGGTTATCGTGTAAACCAGATTTACTTTGTTAGATCAGGTGAAGTATTCATCCTTCATCAATAAACTCCAGACAGCTTCATTCATATAGGTTGATCTTGTTCAAACCATTTTGTTATCAAAGTCGTTGTTGATTAGATTTGACTAGAATTTGTGTATGAAACATGTCCGTGCACATGAGTACACAGTCAAATATTACCTAGTATTATATCTTATGTATTTTATGTAGGTATTCAGTCGGTTCTAATCCCATATACTAGAAAAGGTTTCTCACAGTTCTAGTGCAAAAGAACTTTGACACATCGATTGTTGGAAATTCATCCAGATAACAGGTCCCAAATAAAATAACATGCACACCATGGATTTGACTGCGAGCTACCTATCACATCTACCAAAATTTAATGTTTTCTTTGTTACCTTCTTTGAAAAAATTTTGATAGCACTATTGATTTTTTATCTTGTGACTTTTTTAAAATTTTAGTCTCAATTTCAATCAGACGATTTAAATTCATGTAGATCAGCTATCGAATCACTTCATGCTCTTCGTGTAGCCTTAGATTTGGCTATTAGTCGATTAACTAAATTATCTTGTTACAATCATAAAAGTGAAGAACATACAAATCTATGTCAAATTGTTACTGAACAACTTGAATGGAGATTTTCACGTTTACGTGCTATGCTTGGTCTATCACCAGTTTGTGTTGAAGCACCAGTGGCTCGTGTATTAATTGCAGATATTGTAGAACGCTTGATTCCAGAGTTAAAGTCAGCTTCTTCAATGCTAGACAATACAGATGCTTTAAACAACAGTACTAACGATGACAATGTAGATATTGATAATCCAGATAGTCAAGTAAACAGTGAAAATAAATCACAATTCCAAAAAGCAATGAATTTGTCTGATACTTCTGTATATAAGATGACCGAAATGAATGACAATTCAGCTATCATCAATCATAAAACTGTGAATATTGTTAGTCGCGATGGTTATATTGACAATAATAATAATAAAACAAGGGATGGGAAAATGAGAAACGTAACTCATTATAAAGAACATGATGATGACAATGGTGATATTCATGAAACATTTATGCAAGAAAATAAGACTCTCGAAACTAGCTGAAGAAAAGTTACCATACTTTCGGTCTTTCTATACTTGTTTTTTCGTTAATTTTGTATTTATTGTTTTTATTCGAGGTTTTTTTAACGAAATATAACAGCTCTATTTATGGTATGTACATACTACTTATTTTTCATTTTAGTATTGAATTCAATAAACTTTTGACCATTTGAATTTTTTCTAATTATAAAATATTGAACAGATAGAAACAAACACTTTTGGAAATATAATATAGCGGATACTACATATATGCATTTAGCTCCTTTTTTCAAAATCTTACTCAGCGTAATTTGTGACGAGTGAACATAATCTGTTTTTGGTGTGTAAGTATAGTCTTACCTATAATATCGCCTTTCACTGGATAACTGTTGATTGGTCATACTATTAATAATAATAATAATAAAGTACACAATCGTTTTACGTCACTATATATGCGCACAATGTTACGCTTACTATATTCTCAAATTGTCGTCAAAAAAGAAGCTTTTATTTTTCTTCCTGTAATACTCAGTATGTTTCTTCTTAGTTGTTTTTGGATGCATTTTATTGTGAATTAAAAATGCAAATTATGTACACAATTAACAAATAATCTTTATCATTGCATGTTTATTCAATTGTATACACCAATATTTTGCCAAATTACATCCGTTGTTTTAATCAACTAGACAAAATATTGAATAAACCTCGCCATTATCTCTGTTATATATATATATATATATATATATATATATATATATATATATATATATATATATATATATATATATATATATGTTATAGTTATATTTTGTTTAGTTCTGAATCATTATTTTTATTTATCATCTCTTTTTTAAGAGTCTTCGTCACCTAAACTTTCAACTAAACTGAATACTGTTGTTGTGTATGTATATATGTAGTGATTTTTTTCCTGCTGAACACTATATCGTTCTTTTTTTTATTACTTTGGTTTTCTATTTATGTCTGTGTATATGTGTAAGTTTACAACTTGGATTCGCATATACATATTGAAACTTTCCATTGCTTACTCTACTCTATTCATTCTTCTTTGTTTTTTAATTGAATTGATTAATATTAATAATACTTAAACAATTATATTAGCTATCTATTCATTGAAATTATTGGGAATTTGTTTCTCAATTATGATTGATTTGTTTATCATTTATCTAAAAAAATTTGTAGAGGAAAATAATTATATTTTAAAAAAAGTAAATATATTATAATAGGCGATATATGTTTAATGTAATGAAAATCATAGTGATAATAATAAATATATACAGAAGCAATTTCTTCTCTTCGAATATTACTGACTGTATAATCTTCGCTAACGTTTTGGATTTCGTCTAACACATTACTATTATTATTTAGATGAACATTTTTTTGGAAAAAATAAAGATTGTCAGACAAATACATTTAGTTATTTATTTACCTGACTTATTTTATGACCACAATTGAAATCACGAGTTGATCTGACCTTGAAGTACTGGATGGCAGTACGATTCCGTACTCAAGACTCGAACATAAAATTTGGTACACCGGAGATAGTATTCGAAGCGATATACATTATTGAGTTCAATTAAATGTTAAAATAACTGAGTAACCGAGTACACGCTTCACTTACTGAATTTTAGTTGTACATGTATTAATTCAAATAGTTAGAATCAGAGATTCAGTTATTCAAAGTTTAACATTTAGGCTATTAAAAGACTCCCAATTTCTCTCATGAAATTATGATTTTATAGTGTGGCGTCGAGTCGCGGTTGATTATGATCACCATTATAGGAAGACTACGTGCCAGTTACCAGACCAAATATCAGAAGGCAATTGAAGGTTATAGTAAGATGTATTTGTTGGCGATCTCGTGGTATCGAAAGAATCTCGAGATCGTGTCAAAGTTTACAAGCGGGACTAGTGAGCGTACACGATGGTCTAGTTACAAAAGTGCTTGAATTTCAAACACCGATTCTGATTTGAGCTTGGTCAATTTTATTTTAAAGCAAAGTGAATGAATGAGTCACCCTAACTTTAAATCATTTGGCTAGTTAACCTCTTCAAATTATCTTTATTGACTTGAAATGTCTTGAATTTATTGTGCTTTTGTTCTAAGGAATTAAGTAGTACGGTTTATGTTATGGCTTGTAGCCTGTTAATATATCACGAGAAAATATCGTCATTTAGAGACACCGACTTATATAACCAGACCATTAAGCTTTATACTTGTGTGAGCAGCCTAAATTTATTTGAGATAGTAGTTTCTCGTCTAAGCCAGTCGGTTTACATGCAAACAAACCAGGCCTCGTCGTACCATAAAATAAGAAATAACAATTTCACAAGATTAAGCCAAAAAGTGGCTGTGGATGTAAGAGACGATTACTAATAAATTGGAAATGTCTTAAGAATAATAAATCGTATAGTAATAGTCAATAGGTCAAATAAAAGCTTATAATGAAGGAAATGTGAATATACATATAATATAGTTACCTAGTGGTTATACAATAAGAATATATATAATAATAGTCTACAAATAGATCCTAGCTGTTTCTGTTATCCACTTATTCTTTGCCCGGATATAACAGTTTAGTTTTCAATGGTGGTCTAGCTTCAACTGACTCATGATTTCAATCTGTGAAATTTTCTAAAAATCTCCACAAACCCCTTCTGAAAATAATTTTATAGTTATATTAAGAATTTGAAGACGAATAATATTTGATATTTAAGTATATTCATTATAATAACTACTTTATTGTTCTTTAAAAGAAGAAAATTCTGCTTTACATATATGCTAAATAAAATGAATCTAATCAAATAAACTATCAGTTAAAACACAGAGCCATAAACAAACAAAAATAACAGAAAAGAATGAGGTGTTCAGAGAAAAGTCACCTCAGGACAGTAGTTGCCAACCTGACTTTAAGATACAAAAGCCATTTGAAATTAAATGAAATTTATCAGTAGAAAGAGTATTATGTAGTAAAAAAAACAACCATCTTCTTCCACATTGTATCAACCTATATAAATATATATACGATAGGTTGATTAATTGCCTATTGGATGCTATGAGAAATTGATAGCTTTGCCACAGAATGCAGAGAGACAAGATTCACGCAGAGCTTCAGACACCGTCTAATTGAAAAATAAAAACAGTGAAAGCATTAATTAACGGTATATTATAATTTCAGAAGTCAAATTGAGAATAATAATTAAAATATTATTGTTACTACTTCTTATGATTCTAGAACATTTGGATCAAAGAAGTATGCATAAATTAAAAAAACGGTTTGAGCGAAATAAGCAAAGATGGATAGTGGTTAGCAGTGGAATCCAGGAAGCATGTTTCGACCTATTTGGGACTCGTCAGCTGCATGTAGCCGCATCTCGGATTTGATGTTCACTACGGGACTCAAAGCCAATACCGTTCGCTTCAAATGCCATCGCGTTATCGACAACAACATCAAGTGAATTTAGTTTGAACAAACATTCATTTTTAATAATCTGTGTGTTCTTGTTTATCAAACGTATAAAATGAAACAGCGATTAGAACTTTATGATCAAATTTATGCACCATTAAAACCATTTATTCAATCTCATTTTCTAAAGTGGGGTCATAATAATAGTTATTCTTTGTTCCACTCAGATTGAATAGGAGTGGATGTTAATGTCATGATTACATCTTTATTATTTTTTATTTTTACTAGTGCTAATATAAGCTCTGATTTTAATTTGACATTTTTTTGTGTATTTAAGGTAGTTACCAACTATTCAATCATTTTCTCGTATATACGATAAAACACATTCTTCACCATTATATATACAAACACAAGTCTTAATAAATTAATGATTAGACTGAAAGCGGGTGGACGATTCTTATCAAAACTACCATCGCCATTATCATTTGTTAATTATTAAACCTGTACTTTAATTTTAATAACTATAACTGAAATAAATAATTTCGTCAAAAAGAAAATTTTCTTCGGTGAATTCTCTTTTTCTTAATCAATGACACTAGGAGTTATTTTAATTATCTGAAATGAATATTCCTATTTCTAAGTTTCTGACAATAGTGTTGGATGGTACCAACTTGATTTGGGGATGTGAGATTTCCTTAGAGATGTTAAGATGCCACATATGATTTTCTAAAAACTGATCTCAGTGAAGTAGGGAAATTTAAGTTTTGCAGCCGGGTTTCTTGAAATGTCAAAAATTAGTGCTAGGAGAACCTTGGTGACAAAGCACTAAATAAATAGTATTTATGAACTCATTAACTCAAAGTATTGCCAGAAACGTTACGATATCTGCTGCATACTCAATACTATTGACTTTTTTCTTACAGGTTCCTAAAATATTCTTTAAATGACCTTTTGTTAACCTTACTTTATATTTACTGTCAAGGTGGAATGAGTCCCAAAGCCGTATTGTAAAATTAAAGTAAGCATGAGAAACCGCAACTTATTTTAAGGTACTAAGTGAAAACAAATCCACTACTCATTAATGCATAGAATACTGTTACTTTTTGGTTGTTAAACTAAAGCGGCCATGCAACAACAAGATTGAGGAAAAGTGGTACAACAGTAGAAAGACACGGCCAAGTATTCTAATATAAAACTAAAAGTCGAACGAACGGGAATCAACATATTGAGACCTAAACCCTGCCAAACTAGTGAGAATATTAAGGTAGAAGACAGCTCACATACTAATTATGCTAGTGCTAGTGAGTGGATATGAATGTAAACGTTAAAGATTAATCACCGATTCTCTTGATTTTTGTAATGTAGTTTTTCTTAGTTCTGAGTTGCTGACTAGGTTTAACTCCGATTTCTCAGCATGAAAATAGTAAAGTTATTAAGTTTCATTTCGGGTGATTGTAACAAAATTCCATGAATAGGAAAATATCAATACATATCATCTAAAAAGACCACATATACCTAAAAAATATTTGTTTCGAACGAAGACATACTACTACTTGTAAGCCTCTATGGAAAATAATAGTGAGAAGTAAAACTAATTTAAATATGAAAAGGGGCTATACACTTTGAAACATGACTAACCGGATGGGCATGACAGACACGTGCAACGTCTTCAGCTGAAGCGCCATACTCCATAGCTAATACTGCTTCGTTGATCAGTTCACCAGCAGATGGACCAAGTAAGTGTACTCCAAGAAGTCTGTCTGTATCTTTGTGGGCTAAAGCCTTGAAAAGTCCATCAGTTTCATCATTAGTTTTAGCTCGTGAATTTGCAGACATTGGAAATTTGCCTACTCTATATGACAGGAAAAACATAAAAATTAAAGAGCACCGCGTAAATATATATATATATATATATATATATATATATATATAGCGATCTGATTGGTCGCAACCACTTATTGTCCCAATATATAAGAAGGGGTCAAAGTCATCCTGTGATAACCATGAAGAGATTACTTTGAATAACATGGCATCTAAAATACTAGCATCAATAATTATCAGA